ACCCCAATTCCAGCCCCCATCTGGTTAGAGGAGCCATCCACAAAAAGCTTCCAAGAGCCGCATCTAAGGTCTTCTTCCGTATCCTCGGAATCACATTCTAGCAGGAAATCGACTACCGCTTGCCCTTTGACAGCTGTTCTCGGCTCATACGTTATGTCAAATGAACTCAACTCTATGGCCCACTTTGTCATTCTGCCCGAGAGCTCTGGCTTGTGCATAAGCGTTCTAATTGGAAAAGTTGTTAGAACAGCTATAGGGTGGGATTCGAAATAATGCCTCAACTTTCTTTTTGCATTTACAAGTGCAAGTATCACCCGTTCGGCCTTTGAGTATCTTTGTTCTGCCTCTGTCATTGTTTTGCTTACATAAAATACCGGGTATTGCACCCCTTCCTTGCAACGAATCAGAACGGCACTTGTCGCGACACCAGATATTCCAAGATATAGAAATAACTTTTCTTCTGGATCCGGGGCTGACAGGACTGGTGGATTCTGCATATATTCCTTCAAATGAGTCAATGCTTGTCGTTGCTCATCCCCCCAGACCTGCCTTCCATGGCTCCGAATCGTGTCAAAGAACGGCTTGCAGTGATCTGACAATTTTGAAATGAATCGACTTAATGCAGCTATTCGTCCTGTGAGGGCTTGCACCTCTCTGATCGTCTTTGGCTCGGCATTCTTAATCAAAGCCTCTGCTTGAGCGGGGCTAACTTCGATGCCTCTGCGGTTGACCACGTGTCCCAAAAACTAACCGGAACTCACACCGAACGAGCACTTGGTTGGATTGAGCCTCATCCCATATCGCTTCAGTACATCAAATACATCTTGCAGATGCTTCAGATGATCATCCTTCTTCCTACTCTTTACCACCATATCATCAATATAGGCTTCCACAATCTTTCCCATTTGATTCTTAAAAATTTTGCTAACAAGTCTTTGATAAGTTGCTCCCGCATTTTTTAGTCCGAAAGGCATAACTTTGTAGCAATATGTTCCTCGCTCGGTTACAAAAGAAGTTTTTTCTTCATCTGCGGGGTCTATAGGGATCTGATTATAACCTGAATAAGCGTCCAGAAAGGTTAAACGCTCATACCCGGTGGTGGCATCCACCATTTGATCAATCTTAGGCAGCGGGAAGCTGTCCTTCGGACAGGCTTTGTTCAAATTGGTGAAATCAATGCATACTCGCCATCTCCCATTCTTCTTCTGCACGACAACGACGTTGGACAACCAATCAGGGTAGTGCACTTCTCTGATAAATCCCGCATTAAGCAGCCTATCGACTTCTTCCGCTATGATTTGATTGCGTTCTGGAGCAAATCTTCGCTGCTTCTGTTTCACTGGTTTGAAATTGGGATTGACATTCAGGGAATGACATGATACGGAGGGATTAATTCCAGGCATGTCTAGGTGACTCCATGCAAATACGTCGGCATTGTGGGACAAGAAATCCACTAGCTCTTGCTGCTCTTCTCTGGTCAGTCTTATACCTACTCTGGTAGTTCGTTCTGGCCTGGATTGATCAATCTGCACATCCAGAAGGGGCTCTTCGATTAAGTCAACTAACTCCTCCACCCTGTTCTGCTCGGGCGGAGGTTCCTGTAATTGTTATCTGGGGCTTGCCGATCGGACGGACGCCTTCCCTTTCCCAGCAGACTTTAGTGTGACGGAATAGCACTCTTTGGCTGCAACCTGATCCCCCCGAATGTCTATCACTTTATCTCCATCAGGTCCGAGGCACCTCATGACCTGATGCAGAGTTGAGGGTACACCTTGGACTCTGTGAATCCATCCTCTTCCCATCAGGAGATTATACGAGGGGTGAATTTCTACAACCACAAAAGTTTCCATAAGAGCTCGTTCTGCAGCTTGAACTTCTACTTCCACCATCCCGATGGGTTCCACCCTCTTGCCATCGAACCCTAACAGGGGATTTCCGGTGGGCTTGAGCCTCTCTGGTTTAATCTCGAGCCGATCAAATGTGTCCCTCGGCATGACATTCGCACTGCTCCCGGGATCAATCAGAACTCTGCGCACCAAGCAGTCTGCCACTGTTAAACTGACTACCAACGGGTCTTCATGGGGGACTTGAACACGCTGCAGGTCCGTCCTGTCGAACTTTATCTGCATCGACGTGATCTGCTAGTGTAGAGTATTCACACTACTGACCCTTTTCTTCATCTGCGCCTGCCGTAGGCGCGCTCGGAGTAGCTCATCTGACTCTTCGCTAGACTCGGGTCGACCGTGGATAGCATTGATTATACGAACTGGTTGTGAATTGTGGGAGCTTTGTTTGTGACTCCTTTTTATTTGTTCCGCCGGTCGATTCTGCTCTATCGCCGAGCCTTGAACATAACTCGCGAACTCCCCTCTAGCTATCAACATCTCCACTTGCCTTTTCAAATTCCTGCACTCGTAAGTCTGATGATCGAAATCGGAATGGAAAGCACAATGTTTAGTCTGATCCCTCTGTTCGAGGGGTTGCCTAATTGGCAGTGGTGGATGAAACTTATCTTTGTTCTCCTGATATAGCCTCGCCAGAGTGACCTTCAGCGAAGTAATCAGCTCTTCCTCCCTGGACCTCTTTTCTGCCTTCCAGGAGGTCTGACGCTGCGGCTGAATTTGCTTCTGCCTGATCTTTGCCTTGGACTTCTCCTCGGTCGACACAAGCGACGCTGTCCGAGCATTGGCTGCCTCCTCTTCTTCTAGGCGCACAAAGCCGTCGGCTCTTTCATTAAGTTCATCCATAGTCGTCGGCGTGTTCACTACCAGACTGGTATGGAACGGAGTGCCACGTGTCATGGCCAACTTGAAGGCTTGAACCGCTGTAGAAGGGTGGCATTCGATCACCATACTCTTAGTGAGATTAAACCTGGTGAGAAAAGCTTGGAGACGTTCATCTTTGTGCTGTCTCATTGTGAATAGGCTTGAGATGTCCTTTGGCGAACGCTTGTTCCCATAGTACTGACTTATGAACCGATCGCACAGATCTCGGAAGCTACCAATGGAGCTCTTATGCAAGTTCTTGAACCAGCTGAGCGCCGGTCCAGCTAGGCTTGTAGGGAAATATTTGCACATTAAAGCATCGTTTTCCGTATTCAGGGCCATCTTCAACTGGATATGGTACACATGATCGATCGGATCGGTTGTTCCGTCAAACAGAATAAACACTGGCATAGCAAACTTCCTTGGATGAGGGGCATTCAGGATCTCGTCAGTGAATGGTGAATCAACCGTTCGAGCTGCGGATCGGAGCGCTTCATTCTCTCTTTGGCGGCCAGTGGTAGCTCTGTGGGCTACGGTTCTGCTCTCCGAACCGCGATGAGTGATTGTAGCCATAGAAGGCCGGTAGGACGGATCGAACGACCGTTCCTCTATGAGCTCTCTTTGCCAAGGCGACGCAACTCGGCGGCGATCAACCTCTGTCTCCTCCTCTCGGTTGAACCTTTCCTGATGTGGATCTAAGGTCATGGCTTCATTCTGTCTGATCTGCTCATGTCGCGGATCAACGTGAGTCGATCCTTCGTGATCCTCAACTCGACGAACATTTGGCGGCAAATTGTCCATCATCCTTTCATCACGGTGATGAGCTGACTGATTGTTCTCGCCCTGCTCGCCATGATGCGCGATATTAGATTGAACACCTCCTTCACCGACCGGAAGTGGATGCGAAACCGCAGGTATTTGTTGATGTTGCATTCCAGCTTTCAATTCTGCATTCTCTTTTTTGAGAGCTTCGATCAAGTTCATCAAACTCCTCAAGCTTCGTTTGCTGGATAGCCTCCATCGGATTGGAGCTTTCACCTATCATTATTCCTGAACGGAGTAAAGGCATTAATCTCAGATTCACGAGTAGATCTGAGCTTCGTGAATGCGAATTTTTCAGATCTGGTTTCGAATTCTTCGAATTATGCTTACGGTTGACGAGATCTGAATTGTCCGAGTTCTAAATCTGTCAGATCCTGCCACAATCGAGCAACTCGTTGTTGCGTTGTTCCGAAGCCACTTCCGCCAAAGCAGCAGGAACTAAGATTCTTCCAGAGTAGGTCACAATCGCTCAGATCTGGATTCAACTCCCAAAGATTGAGTTTCGTTTTCACCAATTGGTCTGAATCCACACGATATTGATCAGTTGATCAATCAATCTTCAACGCTTCCCACAGACGGCGCCAATTGAAGATGCAAGAAATTCATACTCTCTTTCTCTCTCTAGAATTCTTACATTTCAACAAAAAGATCTCTCCCTTTTTCTTTCCATTCCTTCTTCTATTTATAGATTTTTACAAATATTGACGGATTGCTGGATCTGGGCCTGTTCCTCCATAAGTCCTGGTCACCTTCGATGGGCTTATTCGCGTTCGGCCCATATGGCAGTGTCTTTTTATGGGCCGACCCAGCCATACGGACCGAATGTCGTGTTTGCAAGTCATATCCGGCCCATGTCATCCTGGGCCTCCTCAATTATCATATATTTTTATAAGATGTTATAAGGTGAGATTGAGCGTTGTTTTTCTTTTAATTGTTGATATTATTTCTTAGACTAAAATTTTATTAGTATTATCATTATTATTATTATTATTATTTATTTTATGTGACCCTGAGACCATTGGTATACGACTAAAGTAAAGATTGGTTAAGATTTAAAGACCAACCTTTTATTTTCGCACCAAAACAAATATTTGAAAAAAAACAAAAAATCAATCATAGACAACTCATGCAGAAGATTTTTTTTTTTAAAAAAAAAACAAAAAATCAATCATAGACAACTCATGCAGAAGATTTTTGTTTTTAAAAAAAAAACAAAAAATCAATCATAGACAACTCATGCAGAAGATTTTTGTTTTTAGGTGGAATCGATTCGGCCGTCATAGAATAACTCTATATACTTATATTACATTATCTTATTAACATGTTTTCGATTTTTCATTAATATGAAATAAGTTTTTCATTTTTTATTCATAAAAAAAGTCAATAGATAATATACATGTAGATGCAGTATAATAATAATCTAAGTGGTGGCTCGCCATCCAGACCGGACCAGACCATGGAAAGTCCTATTTGAAGCTCCCTCAAAGTCAAACCTCTTCTCTCTATAGTCTCTCTCTCTGCACATATATATACACACACTGACACAAATATATATGATATATATGTATTACCTTCCCAACTCTCCTTCCCGCAACACCACGCCATCTCCGGCGCATGTTAGCACACGAGCTTCCAGAACATTTGAACACCAGTTGAAGTTCCACTAAATTAAACTGTATGTACTTACAATAGCTTCATGAGCAGCTACCAGAATAAGATTCATTACAGCCGTCCGATCGTCGGCTCAGTGCTCAATCCCACCTTCAGTCGCCAACATGCAATCCCTTTTCTCCTCATCCTCCTCCTCTCGCCGGCGATTCCATTCGCCGGAGCTCAATCAGGATCCAACCCGACCGGATCCGAGCTGTACAATTACGGGAAGTTCAACCCATCCATAGTGGTCATCATCGTCATCCTCATAGTCGCCTTCTTAGTCATGACCTTCTTCTCCATCTACATCCGGCAACGCTCCGACACCTCCGACAGCGTCTTCCGCCCTCCGGGCGCCGCCGGGAGGTCACGCCGTAACGCCGCCCTGCGCGGCCTCGATCCGGCGGTTATCGAGACGTTCCCGACCTTCCCCTACTCCGACGTGAAGGGGCTCAAGATCGGGAAAGGGGCGCTAGAATGCGCCGTGTGCCTCAACGAGTTCGAGGACGACGAAACGCTGCGTTTGATCCCCAAGTGCGATCACGTGTTCCACCCCGAGTGCATCGACGAGTGGCTCACCTCGCACGTGACCTGCCCGGTCTGCCGGGCCAACCTCGTCCCCAAACCCGGCGAGTCCGTACACGTCCCCGACTCAGGCCCCGAAATCGAAAACCAGGAGAACGACGACGTGTCGATCCGAATAGCAGGAGATTACGAGCTGAATGGTGAGGGAGAGACACGTGTCACGCATCGGGTGGTGGAGCGGAACTGGAGTATGCATCAGAACCGTCCGCCGAGATCGAGATCTGTACGGGCACGATTGTTCGGGAGGTTCCCGCGGTCGCACTCGACCGGGCATTCAGTGATTCATCCGGGAGAGAACGTGGAGCGGTTCACTCTGAGGTTGCCGGAGGATGTGAGGAAGCAGGTGTTGAACCGGACATTGAGCCGGACGACGAGCTGTGCGGTGGCGTTGCCGAGAGAAGGCAGTTCGAGGAGAGGTGTAAGGCACTACAACCGGCTCGAAAAGTTGGACCGGGAGGTGAAATCGGACCGGTGGGTTTTGTCGATAGCACCGCCGTTCTTTTCGAGGGCGTCGTCGGTCAGGTCTCCGAAGGTGGTGGCCGATGACGGTGAGGGAACGTCGGCCACGGCCGTTAAAATGACGTCAAATTATCTGGACCGGAAAGATGAAGAGACCGGGTTGGTGTAGAGTGGGACTCGGCTCGACCGCCGGTTTGTTTTTTACTATTTTTTTTTTTTTTTTTTTTTTTATTGGAATTTTTACATTTACTTTTTATTGATAGTGTGACACGAAATTAGTCATTGGATTAGTAGAAGAAAATAGAGTGGTGTAAAATTTTTATATGTTTATTGTTATTTTTGTTTAGTCTGTAGTATAATATTCAGCTATAACGAATTTGAAAAGTAAGCAATAATTATTTTGAATTAACATGACCACGACCACATTTGACCAATTCAATTAGAATGCCAAGTTTGAATTGGTCTTTTACCCAATTTGGTTTTATTCCAGTTTTTGGTTTGGTTTTTAGACATCGTTGTGATTAGTTGTACTTTTGTTGACTTTTGTAAATTTAGATGTCCAATTTCTAATGCTATTTGCGTATGTGATAACATATTTTAATTTTTATGCCAATTTATTGAATTTATTTAGTTCAATGTAATCTCATGGTGGGTGGTCTTGCGTCACTACATTGGTGATTTTAATATATATATATATTCTTCAGTGGGGGACAGAGAGTACTAAACAACATGTAAAATGTAAAACATTCTAATCCTCGAATAACTATTGTTGTCTTGCCCACCTTTTTTCACTTTTGTTCTTTTTCTTTGTTGATATTTTGAAAAGGACAAGTAAAAAGTACAAACTTGTTTGAAATCATTAACACCAAAGAAAAAAAATAAAATAAAAAAAAGAAGAAGATGAAGAAGAAGAAAAAGAAATCATTAACACAAATTACACAATTATGTTCTATCCACTGTTTATATATCTTTCCATGTCAAGAAGAGGACATGTACATCAGTACATGAATGATAGACTACTTCTGTAGCTGTTCATTAAGGCGTTCGATACAGGATTGACAGATTATTGTGATATATATATACACACACTCACTCACATATATATTGTCCTTTTTCACTATGAATGGATCATTGGATTTCTACCATATTTATTTTAATAGCACCAACCATCTTTGATTGAGGCACTGATAAACATAAACTCAACTTTAAGACAAAGACATGCCAACGACTCTTTCTTAAATGTTAGTGGATAAAGTGAAAACAAGTAAAAAATCTGCCCTATATAAAAAATTTGTAAAACAACACCTCTTACCTAAGTATCTACATATAAATTCTTATAATTCAAAAAATTGTAACAAATTGTCTTAATTAATTTTGGTTAGGGGTGACAAAATGGGTCATGACTTACCAACTCGTTTATATTCGTCTGTTTAAAAATGAATATAGGTGAATTATTTAAAAATATGGGTCAAAATGGGTGACCCATATTCAACCCATTTTTATAAAAAGTTAAATGAGTTGAATATGAGTTATTTATTTTGATTCATATTTCACTCATTATATAAGCGATGCACAATTTTAAATCATCTATATGACTCAAATTCACCTATTCTTCTTTTCTAAAATTTTCTTACACAATTCCAATTTTTTTTTTTTTTCTCTCTCTCTCCCACTCTCTCTAAAATTCTCTCTCATAATCCTCTTTCTTTCTCTAAAATTCTTTGTAGTACTATAGTATTACTTTGTTACATCCACAACACATATACAATGTATTCGTGTGTATTATATATATAGGAATACCCGATTTATTCATTTAATTTTTTATTCTATAAAAAGTTTAATAGATGATTTCATATATATATATATATATATTTTACCTTCATGCATGTCTAGTCATAAAATAAAATAATATAAATTTAAAGAATTTTTAAAATAAATTAGAGGATTTACTATTACCGGTACATATCTTTACAAGTTTTTATCCATTTAAAATAAAAAACTATAATAATGAGATTATCTAAAATAATAACATTTCTTTTTCCTAAAACGGGTTGGTGGGTCATGACGGGTTGACCGGACCATTGTGACTCAATCCATATTTAACCTATTACAAGTGGATTGAATATAAGTCACAACCTATATTCAACCCACCCAAATGTGACCCTGCCCAAACCCAACCCACTGGTTTGCCGCCCCTAATTTTGACCAATGTTTTGTATATAAAACTCCAAAGTATATTTAAGGGCATTTTAGTCTCCAATGTATTTTATTAAAACCTAAAAATTCCAAAAATATCCCAAAACTCCGAAGTTTTTATATAAACCCTAATTTTTTTCTTTTTTAGAAGTCAATGTTTTTTATTTTTATTTATTGAAGGCATTTTAAACATTTCAGTTTTCAAATTGAAAAATTGTTTGAAAAACATGGGGGGATTTTGCTGTTTTTTTTTTTTTTTTTTTTTTTTTTTTTTTACACTTTACCCCTTGTTAATTCTATTATGTTTTCTTTGTTAGAGAAATTTGAGCGAAATCTTATATTATAAATTTTGGATGTGCGAGATTATTTTTTGTTAATAAAATGAAGGGGAAAAAAAAAAATTACAATGACACTGACGACACTGACATCATTAATAGTTTTAGAGTAATAATAGGGAAACCGAAAAAGAATTCTTGAATTAACATCGAATCTAACGTGCTTCGCTATACTTGTCATTTGTTAAATAATTATTTTTTGAAAACTGTTTAAGTAGATGAGGTGGACAAAAATATGTCAGATTCGGTGCTTATTAGGGTTAATTCTTCGATCTCCCTATCATTATTTATAGTTTTAAGACCGTTGCTAACATTACTCTTGTCACTGTTACAATTGAAAGATTGATTATCCAACCTTTTAACAACAAATGTTGCTTTTTAACGACAAATGCAACATGTTTTAATCATATTAATTGATAGGTTGAAAAGATTTCAAATTCAATAATGATTGTTGCTAATTTTGAAGTTGCATTTATTATGTATCAATCCAAATATAGGGTTATATATAGTTTTATAAGTTGCTTTCACAGTTATATATTCGTTTGAAAATGTTCAATCACACTTTGATCTAAAGTTTTCTGGTACAAAACCTGTTGAAATCAAATCCTCTTAATAAATGATTATTGAATTGAAATTATGAAAAGAGTGAAATTTGTAACAACAAAGAATAATAATCAGTATTATTACAACACCAAAACAAATAATTAAATAAAAACTATCAGTTAATCAATGCGAATAGAAGAAAATCAATGTAAAATGAAATGAAAAAATGACATCATCTGAATCTCACGTAGACATACTTATTATTGTTATGTTGAGTCCATTGTTTAGTCGGTCTAAACTTTTTAATAAAATGTGAAAATTCATCAAGAAGCAAGGATTAAAAGTTAAGAGTACGAGGATAGGTATATATTTAAATTTTTTTTAAAAAATACCTCACTAAAATGATAATATTGGATAATTTGACTTCTATTTATAATATGATAATTATTTACAACCATTGATATTGACCAATAATAAATGGACATATCCTATTTTAATTATCAAATCATAGATGGTAATTATAAAATGAGATCGTCTCTAATAAGACATCTATATATGTATTACGGTTAAATGTAAGTAGAGTTTCCATTATTTTTTATTTAAAAAATATTATTTGATTTGATTCAAATATATATAAAATACCCAAAAAAAAAAAAAAAAAAAAAAAAATTGTGTTTAGCACAACCTTCTTCTATATCTAATTTTTTATTTTTTATATGATATTATTTGACAATAGTACTGTTTGTGTTCATGATTGACGAGAGATAAACCTAAAACAGTAAAACTGAATGCAACATGTTTTGCCATATTAATTAATAAAATTTCCTTCGGAAACATATTAATTAATATGTTTAAAAGCTTTCAACTTAAAAAATGTTTGTTATGGATGGTTTTACTTACAAGTCGCTTTCATAGTTTTATATTCGTTTGAAAATGGAAAATCTTAATAATATGTGTCATTCCTTGGCGCGTCTATAACACCACTCAAACTAATTTAATCCCACTATCTGTGTTTGTTGATGACAGCTCAATTGTGGTTTGTTGGTAGTTATTGTTTGAATTATTGGGCTTCATTTTAGGTATTTTTAAAAAAAAAAATAAAAGATTAAGAAGATTTTTAAAATTACGCTCATTAAAATGATGTTATATAAATGAAAATGTCTCTTAATATAAATTTAGCATAGAATGTGATTTTCTTTAAAATTATTTTCATTGGCAATTCACTATCAATGAGTTACTCGACTTCTTTATTTGAATGCGCTGCAATCTCATCGAGGTATATTTTCTTTTCTTTTTTTATTATATATATATTCATACCCTTTTATATAAGAGTCTTAGATCATGAAATCGATCCTGTAATTTATTTTTCTTTTTTTCTTAGAAAAATAATTATTATTTGCATACGTGCTCTCTTGTGTTGTATACATGTGAATGAATTTTTTTGTTTTTAGTGTTATGTGTGATCTTTATTTAATAATCATCGATGTTGTGTAATGGTGAAATTTGTACGTGTGTACTTTCGGTTAAAAATATATTCCCTCTCATTTTAAGGGGTTAAAACACAATGATTGTCACATAAGTTACTACATAAAAACTAATAGGATGAAATGATGGAATTACTATGGCTATGTTCTCCAAAAATAGATTATTTCTCATCTTAAGGTGTTATATACGGAAAAACTAAATTTGTTCTGTTGCCTTTTACATGGCTTTTGAAATACACCACATGGAACTGTCTTTGTCCCTTCTCTGTGAGCCTTTTACATGGCTAGTAATCATGATTATTCATGAGCACGTTAGTTCAAGTTTGAGAGCAATTATTAATCATTTTGTGTAAAATAATATTAAACTACGTATGAGGGACAAATACTCAATAATGCAAGAATGTTCGATTATCTACTTGAACAGGAAAGCAAACAAAGATTTTGAATAGTGGGAAGAGTATCTTGCTTCAGAATTTATTCTATACTGCTATATATATATATATTTCTTTATATATATATATATATATATATATATATACCCTTTTATATAAGAGTCTTAGATATCAAGAAATCGATCCTGTAATATATTTTTCTTTTTTTTTTTTTCTAAGAAAAATATGTATTATATGTAAAATATTATTTGCATACATGTTCTCTTGTGCTGTATGATTTTGTTTTTTTGTTATCGGTGTTACGTGTGATTTTTGTTTAATAACCATCGATGTTTCGTAATGGTGAAATATGCGTATACTTTTGGTTAAAAATAAATTCTCTCATTTTAAGGTGTTAAACTCAATGAATGTCACATAAGTTTAGTATGGAGAACCAATAGGATGAAATGGTGGAATTACTACGGCTATGTTCTCCAAAAATAGATTACTCATCTTAAGGTGTAATATGCTTGGGCATCCAAAATTTCAGTGCTTTATGTTCACTTTATTCTGTTACCTTTTACATGGCTTTTGAAATACACCACATGATTATTCATGAGCACGTTGGTTGGAGTTTGAGAGCTATCATTTTGTGCAAAATAATGTTAAACTGCATATGAGGGACAAATACTCAATAATGCAAGAATGTTCGATTATCTACTTGGACAGGAAAGCAAACAAAGATTTTGAATAATGGGAAGAGTATCTTGCTTCAAATTTATTCTATACTGCTATATACCATAATGAAATGAAAGTACATTATTTAATAAACATGGATTTTGCAGTTTTGAGTTAACAAAGTACTAATGTGTTCCTTAATTTTCTACAATTTCTCTTATTGGAGTACTAACGTAGGAATGCATCGGTAGGATGTTTTTGCTCTGAAATGCACCGGGACAGTTTGGCACTCCTTTCATGTGGGACAGGAAAGCAATGGCTATGGCTAGAGCAATCCCATTTGTTGGTTTCACCGGCAAGGTGAAACACTGGTTCACCGAGTTGTTTGGTTTGGACATAAGCAATGCAGTTCCCAAACAGCCCCCTAAGACCTGGGATTTATTTTCGGAGTACATCTGAAGGAAGTGGAGGCACATACAGAAGAGGGATGCTTCACCAGAGGGATTAAGGACTGCACGACGTCTGTCATTAGGGGCCGGTAATCTGCTTCTGGTTGCACACACATGGCTGCAATAGCTGCTAACTGCCAATACACAGAAACGAGAATTATACGCCTGCTTAGTTTGTCACTCGGTAAACAGTTCTCAAGGATTCAGAAAAGAGCACAGTTCTCTTGAAACAAGTATTTGACGACGGTGGTGAGGATAGAATTAAACTATGATAGAAAGCCAAACAGACCTGGATTAGATCCTTCTTTGAATACTGGCCTTGGAGTGTTGGATCAACCATTTGCACTACTTTCTCTCTCTGGGTTAGCCTTGGAAGTGCCTGAAAAATTATAAAACATCAGTTCAGCAGTTTTCAGATTTGCCCCGTTGCCCAAGAAATGGATACATGTAGATAATGTTACGACAAACGCAGCAAATCCAAGATAGAATTAAAAATTACGAAAGAAATGTAAACGCACCATACAAAGATTTATACGTGGTTCAATAATAGGCTACGTCCATGGTTGAGATCCGGCAAAAGTTTTCACTATGTGTAAAATCAGAAATTACAAATTTTCAGCCCCCAACTCTCTTTTTGTACGAATTTCAAAGTCTCTTTCTTACCTTACCCCAAACCTTATATATTGGGTTACAAGAGAGTCAAAAAATTTCCTATCCGTTGCGACGCGGAACCAAATTTGATCCACAACATCACGGATACAAATTAGGCAATTTTCAATCACATTGCTGTGAAATCTGAGAACTTTGCTACTGTCATGCCTAATGTCCTCATCTTTGCAGTCTTTCAAGCCCGAAAAAGGGAGTTTGGTTACATTAATAAGGTAGTTGACAACCAATGTAAAAAACTCTTTAGTGTGTTTGGATAAACAGGAGGGAGAGGAAATGAAATAATGGCATTATCTTTCTTTCCTTTCCTTCCAACATTTAATTTAACGCGTTTATCAGACCTTTATGAACATAAAGTCCTGATTTTGAGACCTTTAATTCAATGCATTGATCAGACCTTCAGCATTGATAGTCAATAAATTTTGAGAGCAAGAATGATGGATGTGATTTACTGACCCAAGAGGCAAGAACATGTTCTCCAACAGGCAACTTGGTATCAATTGGTGCACGCCCTGTTAAAAGCTCAAGAAGGACCACACCATAGCTGTATACATCTGATTTTGTGGTAAGCTTACCTGTTGATGCATACCTACATTGCAAAAATTTTGAAAATTAAAACAGTCAATGCTAAATATATTTACTATTTGAAAGACTCGTGCTTAAGAATGAAGGGTCTGTTTGGAAACATAAAAACACTTTTGTTTACTTGTGCAGGTTGTCCACAAGGAGACAATTAGTATGGAAGCATAGCTAACTTTGGGATTCAATAATTGAAATGGAATATTTGTATCCGAAACAGCCCCTAAAGATTAGAGAAAATGACAGCCTGCATTGGGGGACCTTGGCCTTACTACATATGGGCATGTTTGTACATGTGCAGTTGGTATGGTAATGAAAATGAGAGATGTATGACAGATGAAGCACTCACTCGGGGGCTAGATAGCCGGTGGTCCCCAACACGCGTGTTGAAATTTGGCCATTCATCTTGTCTGATCCTGTTTTGGCCAGTCCAAAATCCGATATCTTGGGCGACAAAAAATAATATGGAATGAGATTATAAAAAATGACTTCAAAAAATTAAATATAGTAGGCAGTATGGCATTAAATAGAAAAGAGTGGAAATAAAGAATGCATGTGAACGACCACACTCCTGTGAGATCAAGGCAATGGTGATGACCATGATGATGAGAATCCAATACCTTGGCTCTGAAATTTTGGTCTAGGAGGATGTTGCTGCATTTGAAGTCGCGGTGGATGATGGATGGCATTGCATGCTGCTCGTGGAGGAACTCGAGGGCTCTGGCACAGTCGAGGGCAATTCTCAACCGGGTACCCCAATTCAGTGGCGGTGGCTGGTGGTGGTGGTGGAAAGGGTGGAGGTGGTTGTGGAGAGTGCCATTGGGCATGAATTCCAATATTAGGAGACGGTGGTGCTGGTCTGCACAGTAGCCAATCATCTTCACTAGGTAAGGAGAGTTTAGGCGGCTTAATAAGTCCACCTGCCCAAAATGTCAAAATAGGCTTTTGTCACGTAGTTTCACAACCATGTGCAATGAGGCTTTTGTCACATAGTTTCACACCCATGTGCAATAATGAATAGAATTTTTAATGCAGGGTAGATAAAGGAGAGAGAGAGAGCGTGTCAACATTCCTGACAGTTTTTGATTGCTACTTGATGTTATAAAATGCCAACAGCAATTAGCAAGCTTGTATATGTGTGTGTATGTGTGTGTGTGAGAGAGAGAGAGAGAGATTAGACAATTTTTTAATTGTGAAGTGAGGTTAGAGGATGCCAAAAGTGGTGGTGTTTGTGTTAGCACCAATTTATTATTAAAAATGTACGAGTAATAAAGCAAGCAGAGGAATGACGGCTACAAAAGAAAGAGCTCTATTTTTTTCATACACCCTCGAGAAACAAGCACAAAGTTAAATGGAAAGTTGTAATTTACTAACCGAAGTTAGAAATACTTGTTTTACAGTTTTTAAAAACAATAAAAGAAACCAATAATTACATCTAAATAGTCATTATAAAATAATTACTTTTAGATTTGGTCACCTAAAGTTCACAAGGCTTCTAATCTAATGGTAAAATCTTTTCATTTCGGGCATAAGCAAAAACGTGTATGAGTATTTATCCAAGACTAACCTCGGTCCGAAAAGCGCGTTCCACTTGCTTTCCTTCCCTGCGCAGCAACTTAATAGCCGCCACAGTCCCATCACTCAGGACCCCCCTATAAACCACTCCGAACCCTCCATTTCCTATCACATTTGTCTCACTAAATTTGTCTGTGGCCACTTCTAGCTCCTTGTATGTGAATACTTGCACTCCTCTGAATTTGGTTGCAGGGACACGCCCTGAATTCGCTCCATTTAGACACCCACCCGCCATATCTGTTACATTGTCAAACAAACACCACATCAAATACATACACATATATATATATATAATTTTAAATTAAAACAACCATACAAACCAGAATTTAAGTGGAAAAACCTTCAAGCGAGAGTTTAAAAACCAGAGGACCTAGTCAGGCAACTATTTGATTATATGATTATATATGTAAATATATGTTACATTGTCAAATACCCAAATCAGAATTATGGAAATGAATTGTAATTTAAGAATTTGGAATTGGGATTTTAATTACCTGGGCTAGAATTGATGGTTATGGTGTTATGAGCAATGAACAAGCAATTTCTTTTGTCGATGCATGTGTTGTTGGTTTTGGCAGTACTACTTCCATTGTTTTTCGCGGATTTTAGACGTCGAAGCACTACAATGATGAGAAAGATTGAGAGAAGCAGGATGGCTATGATGAATGATATGATGATTATGAGAACTGAAGTTGGAGGGAGAGTGTCATGGTGGTGGTTATGGGGTTGTGATTGCTGTGATGAGAGATGGTGTCTGTGGGTGTGGTATTTTTCTGCAGCAGCAGTGGTGTTAGTTTCCTCCATGTGTGTGTGTGTGTGTGTGAGAGAGAGAGAGAGAGAGAGATGCAATATGGATTGTGAAGGTTGTGTTTACTTATGGGGAGGTTGGCTACCCTTCCTAGGTGGTCATCTTGCCTGTATGGACACATGACTCTCTCTCTCTCTCTCTCTCTCACACACACACACACACATGCAATATGGACTTCAGTCTGTCCCTTCTTCTGTATTTATGTAAGGTGGAGTCTTTTTCTTGCTTATGAGGAAATTTTTGGAGCTTTTGTGTACCATTTCATCATATGTCTCTATACATTTATATAAAATTAGCTAAAATAATAGTTCATTTTCAATAAAAAGCTAATATAGCAAGGTAAATTAATATAAGTTTTGCCAAAATTGTATCATCTGATGAAACTTTGAGGGAATAATTTACGGAATAAAGTTTTATTCCGATTACTGAATCTTTGAGCTTTATAATTAGTACGAGGCCAGCTAACCCAACTATACATGGTCCATAATTAGTTGATGCTGACAAATCAATCATATGTTTGAAAAAGAATGAAACAAAAATATATCAGTTGATAACTTAGTATTGATGAAATGACATCAACGTGAGTGTTACGTAAATGTAAGATGTCTATTGATATTTTTTTTCTTGGTTGTTTAATCGGCCTAGTGAGATTACTTCACAGGTGTCATTCTTGTTGATTGGATTTTTTTTTTTTTTTTTTTTTTTTTTTTTTCTTAATTAGGTTCTTGGAGCTACCAGCTAATTTGATATTAACTTGTTGTGGGATACTTGACCTTATTAATTTGTCGATGGGGACTTGACTCTTGGGTCTATAACATTCTTTGCATTGTATAATTAAGGTAATATAAAATTTATCTAAAATGAAAAAATTTAGTTGAAGTCCCAAAAATTTTAATGTTTTGATTGATAAATACATCCATAAATATTTGAAAAATCATTAGCATTTTAGTAAGAGTATCTCCAGCGGCTTCTTAAAACACTTTTTTTTTTTTACGTAAAGTATACATTGTCCAGTAGTATACATTAGCATGTGTAATTTTTTTTCTTTTTTTTCTTGTTTTTTTTTTTTTTTTTTTTTTATCTCCAGCAGTATGTTAAGATACACTGTTACGTCACCAATGTGTAAAATTATTGTGTATTTTACACAAGTTTTTTATACCACCACATCAATATATTTTCTTACTCTCCCTTTTTTCTCATTCCATTAACTAATCAATCCTATTTTAAGTAAGTTTGTAAAAATTATGTGCACACCAAAATTTTTGTGTAAATCAATTATGACACATCATATTTACACAAAAAATATATATATACATAATTATTGGAGATGCTTTAAGTGTTTAATAAAACTTTATTTAAAAAAGAAATGGAGTTAAATGTTTGATTCTATCATTACCAAAAAAAAATAAAATAAAAAATAAAAAATTCATGAAAATCAATTGGTATATCATAAGTAATGTGAATATATTATTCAATAACTAGAGTTTCTAAAAAAAAAAAAAAAAGAAAAAAAAAAAAAAAGAAAACTTGGAGTATTTGGGCAATGAGATGTGACATTGGTCACATTGTTTCAGCAATAGACATGAAATGAAGGGGTGGAGCCAGAGGGGGCTAACGGACATGGCCCTCTCAAATTTTTTTTGAAACCCTTGTTTATATGGTTACTTAGGTAGATCCATAAAAATAAATGAATTTAATGAATTTTATTTTATTTTCTGTTTAAATAAATGAGCTCAAAATCACTTATTTTTGAATTTTTTTTTTTTTTTTTTACCAAAAACTCATGTTGTCAAGCAGTGCCCTAAACGACACTGTTTCCTGACGATTGCAGTTGAACTTAAAAATAAAAAAATATAAAAAATTTGCTTAGCCCAAAACGACGGCATTTTGGAAAACGAAAAATAAAATAAAAATTTACCCCGATCGAGGCTTGAACTCGCGGTATTCCGCGAGTTAGATTGCGAGTTCATGTGGGCCCGTCCAATTAACGCCAACCCGCTACAGGGGCATTTGAACTGTTCACTCACGGGAAGGCCCTTTGACTAGGCCGGTGCAGGTGCTCTTACGAGCCAAAATATTCTCTAATAACAATTTTCGTTATTCCTTGGGATTCATCAATTTCACCACTTCCTACAATAAATTTCACCACTATAATGATAAAATTTTATCAATCTCAAAAAGCAACAGGAAAATCGTTACGGATAGGATCTGGTTACCCTTACCACCCCTCATGAGATAAGAAATATGCCCTTTTGTTTGATAAGTCGTACTGTTAGGATTCCCTTATCTTAATGCCCGCACTCCATTTAAGAATACTCGCAGAATTTTGCACCCACGTGAATGAGAACTGCAGTGATTTTAGTTTTGTTCTAACATTTTGAAGAATTAGGGCATCCATATCTGCCTGTACTCGGGGGATACTAGCAGAGTTTACCTTAGATGAGTTAAGTAGTGTACTTATATATTGGTACACTCTCGAGTCTCTGAGTCAGTGCACACATAAAGACTGCAAGACAAATCTGTTTTTAACAGAATGATAAAAGTACAAATAACCTAATGCTAGGTTTTAGGTTACCGAATTTGCGTCTTGAATTTGACGTCGGAGAAAATTTAACACAAGTTTTGAACTTAGTTTTCTTTAATCTCAAATTCAAGGCACTGACTCAGTACTATTAAACATAACATAAATAGTTAGAATAAGACGTTATTGAATTTAGTCGGGTAATCAAGTGACAATATATGATTTTTAGTGGATGTCTGGAAAAAAGCTCAGTGTCATTAAAATTATCTAAACGTCATTAAATCAGTTCATTTCCATAAGTATTGGGTGCTGACTCTTTTTCTTTTGCCAATTTTTATTTTTTATTTTTTTCAGTATATGTTTTGGTTGAGAAAAGCATCAACAAATTTTTGGGCCACACCACAGTATGAAAAAAAGTGAAGAGGACTTTCTTCCTGTATTTCATTTTGGTTATTGAGTTTTCTTTTTATTTTCCCCCATTTTTTAAAGAATAAAAGAAGCAACAAATAAAGCTGAGAAAATCAATCAAAGAAAAGTCACCACAAACATTGATGTAGGAGTCAAATGCTCTAGAGCCTTTTGGCATTAATCAAGAATGTTGAGTTCATTCTTCTCTTACCAAACTAAACTTAATTCTAAACAGATTTAAGTGCTTTTAATAAAAAATAAATAACATAGGGTAATTTTTTTTTAGTGATAGTGACTTAATTTATCACATAATGTCCAATACTTAAATCCATACAATCCTAAAACAAAATTTTAATTTACAATTACCCCCTTAAAACTTTCACACTTAAATTTTAGCTCCTACTATTTTCATTTTATCAAACAAAACCAATCACCTAATATAGGTGACTATGAATGACCCAATGGAATAATATATAGTGATAATTTGATTCAACAGTGGGCTGTCTAACCACATAATATGCGTAACAAGATATTATCTTGCGCAAAGTCAAAAAAACATGAAGAGGGAGGTGGGGACAAAGCAATAGCTTCCTTGTTTTCAGCATTTTTGGATCGAGAATGACAATGCATGGACAGATTGTCATGCCCACCGAATGGGAGAATTGTCACCATCTGTCTAGGCTGGCTCTCTCATCTCTCACTGTCACACACACACACACACATCTGTGTCCACGCATATATATACATAGAGAGAGAGAGATAATTACATTTACTTGCACTAACATTTCTTATAAATTATTTAAATAACAAGAATCTCTCCTATAGTTTCAAATATAACACTGATATTGCTTGCCAGTGTTGACTTTGACCCGAATGTATAAGCTTCTTAAGGGTATTTTCGGGTTCTAAGTAAATCTTGAGCATGACATCATTAAATAAGAGTGTCAAATTTTATGACACGTGAGGTCAGTGTTACTCAAACCTAAACTAGAGGGGATGCCAGTGTTATATTTGAAACTAGAGGGGATGTCCCTATTATTTAAACAATCTACATGGAGGTAAGTGTACTTATCTCATATATATATACATATATATATATATATAGAGAGAGAGAGAGAGAGAGAGAGAGGAGGTGCGGTGCTCATCACCTAGTTCATGTGGCTGTTACAGTTTGTACTGAATGGTCGCGTTTGGTTGCGCACATGAATTAAGTCAAGGTAGCACCAAAGCTGAAACTGATGAAAGTCACAACTGCATTCTGATGCTGTACACCTTTGTTTCAAAAAGGCAAACCACCCAAATCCAGTGTCATGTGATCCTCACCTACCTAATCCAATTCAACGCCCTCCTGTTGCATTCATCCACCCCATATTAGCCCGTAAAGCTGCAATGCATATGGTTGACAAATGACAACCACACACCATCTCATGTTCACTTTCTGAGTTTTACCCCCATTGAAGATGGGTTCAAATTCCCAGTTTTCCCAAACATCATATATACACGCGTGTGACGGTAAGTCTCAGGTTCGAAATTGAAAATAACCTCTCCACATGCAGACGTAAAGCTGTATACATCTCTCTCTCCCAGAACTGGCAGTGGCGGGAGCGCTTTATATTTTCAGACAAATTTACCACCTGAGCTCAAATTACTTTACCTGTTAACACAAGCAGAAGCTAAATTGAATCCAACAGCTATGTATATTTTATATTCATAATAATAAAAGAACATCCCCTAGCACATTCAACACACAACAAAAAGCCCAGATTTATATGCTGTTCAAGTAGATTTTGCTTTGCTTGTATACTACCTCCTAAAAACCAACATCTCATGGTTCCAGTAGCTCTCTGTTTGATGTTCTTCGAGTATCTAAGAAAAAACTCAAACAAGTAGAGCAGCTTCATCAGGTCAAAATCAAGTACAACAATTTAAGTTTGTCTAACAACTTTTTAATTCTGTAACAATTCCATTTAAATGAGGCTGAAATCATCAGTGCTATCACCAATAATGAAGCCTAAGTACCTCTCTCGGCTCTTACAGTAACTCAATGGGTATAATGGTGTGCATGGTTACAAGAAATAGAAGCCATCACCAGAAGTAAATGGCACGGCATTAGTACCGATTTTTGTATCATGAACTTGGAATTTCTTTCAAATTTTCACCTATTACAGCCATAGTTTTCCCCTTTTTCCAAATGAACCTTTCTTGAAAGTAACTTAAACAAAACACAAGCAGATCATACAGCTTATTCACATCCCTTTGGACGTGAAAACACACCCGAAAAAGAGCTCATGCCTCATTAAAATGAGTGTTAAAGATTTCCCAATGTATTCTTCAATTGATTTGACGGAAGGACATATTCCACAATTTCATCAGTCATCTGGAAAGCCTAGAAATTTGTTTATAAGTTTAGCAACAGGTGTGGCATCACCCGGGTGGTATGTGATGAGAGACTCCAAATCCATATCCGCAATGGTCTGGAAGAGTGTTTGAGGGCGTGCACAAAACAAATGCTTCCTCTCAGCTAATTCTTCTGCTAGCTCACTTTGATGATTGTCCATCAAATCCTCATTCACCACCACAATTAAAGGTTTACCCAGCCGCAATGTCTCAAAGATGCTCCCGGAACCTGCAACACATTTAAATCCAATTACATGGATATCCTCCTCCTTTCTCATTCATTTTTCTTCATTACTTGTTCTACATCACACTCTAGATCAGACTTTTCTTTTAAAAAGGCAGTTAAACTACAGGAGCAGTATAAATCATCCTTGAAAGAAAGATAAATATCATTCATAATCTGATAGGTACTGTTTGGTAAGAGCATACGCTAGCAACTTACTGTACCACACCCCACTCCAACAAAGAGAAACAGTTTAAAGGCCCATAAGCTTATTGCATTCTCAAATGTTAAAACTGGTATCTGTTGGGAGTTGTTGGGTACCGTTTCCTAGAAGGACTACAGAGCATGAATGAGTTCATGTGCAAACGTCCACACAAAAAATATAAAAAAATAAAAAAACATTGGAGAGAAAATTCATATGTTATAGTGCAGACCTAGAGGGACTACAGAGCATGAATGAGTTCATGTGCAAACGTCCACACAAAAAAAAATAAAAAATAAAAAATAAAAAATAAAAAAACAACATTGGAGAGAAAAATCATATGTTATAGTGCTTGTGATGGAAACATGAGAGGTTTAGAATATTACGACTAGAAGTGCAGATTTCTTCAGTTATAGTAACAATCATCAAATCAAGCATTATATCAATCCTCCAACCATGTTATGAAAATAGAAAAATAGTTAATCTGAGGGGTAACGAGTAGAGGCAACTAAATGGCAAATCTCTTGTGGGTTTAAAAAAATTCAAGGATAAAGAGAAATGACATGTAGCAGAACTGCAAGGACTTAGAAGTTCTAAAGAAGTTTTCAAAAGGTGAAACTGAGAGTAATGGGCCAAGTGCTTTTATGTTAAATTCATTACTCAATGTATGTCCCAGTTAGTGAGGTCATGCTTTTGACACACTCCATGAAAATGAAGCATATCTTTGTAGCAGACCTTTAATCTTCTTAAATGATCAAGTAACAGAGAAACAGGCCCAGTTACTGAAGTCATGCTTTTGACGTACTCCATGAAAATAAAGCATATCTTTGTAGCAGACCTTTATAATGGCTTGGTTGCCTTCTCGTCTTTGGCCTAATCTCTCTTCAGGCCGAGGGCCTTTCTCCATCTCTTCTTGAATGATCAAGTAACAGAGAAACAGCCTGTGGTAAAGCTCCACCAAATGACTGCTTATTGATTTGTCCAGATTTAGCAGTTGGACCAAATAAGTAGAAACAGAGTAATATGGTAACTTGGATAAATCATGCTACGTGTACTCATCTAATATGTTTTAGACACAAGCATACAGTTCAGTAAATACTTATTTTAGCATATCTACTTCTTTTGGGATTTATTTCCTTAATTTAATTTTCCATCAATTCACCGTATAGTGAATCTTTTAGTAAAAAACAACCTTAACAGAATGACATGCTATAAATTAGTTCTTTCAACGGAATAAGGATAACTCTGCTTGTGTTATTCCTAATGTCATATATTTATACAACAGATCACAAACCAAAAAAGATAAAAAAAAAAAAAAAAAGAAAAAAAAAAGTTGCATTAAGTAGCTGACAACCAGCCTAAAACTCTTGCCAAACACCTACAAAATGAATCCCAAAAATATTCGAGTAAATCTATGGTGTATATTTTTGGTGTTGATATTATTTACTTTACTTGACTACTAATTAGAGGCTTGGAGAGAAGTTCTAGAGTCTAGAATCAAGAGGGTTAAACACAAGCAAGATTAAAACTAAATATATGGAGCGTAGCATAATAAAATTTTACATACAAGTAAAAAGGGAAGAAGATCAAGGGTCCAGAATCATCAAAAAGCGGACATTTTTGTTCTCCACATAATTTTTGAAAAAAAAAAAAAGGAAAGAAAAAAAAATATTTGATTCTCCACAAAGAATGATAGACTGGAGACAAAGTTATACATAGAATTAAACAGAAAAGTGCTTCATATTGTATGATCAACTATACCTTTAACAATTGAAAGTTAAATTAAAAAAAAAAAAAAACAATTATCAAACCAGTCGTGCTTTGTAGGACAGAGATGTGTGGGCTGTTAAGAGGACAACATTTTCATCCAATCAGTTTGATCAAAATGGAAATATTAGGACGAAGGAGCAAAAAGTAAGAAATGACAAATTGTGCAAATGAAAAAATTTATGAGATGGTTGAAATACCTTCTATTAAATGCAAAAATGAAAGCAAATTGATCACAATGATTTGACCCATATACAGAGAGAATCAATCAATGAGTGAGGAAGAGTGATATCACCGATATTGAGAGTAATAGTACAAGAAGGGAAAGACCAAAACTAACATGGTTAAAATACAAAGGAAGAATATGACAGCATGTGGTTTTGACTGAAGTAATAGTCTTGGATGGAATAGAATGGCGAAATATGAAGCCAACCTCAAGTAGTTGCCAAAAATTCGTTGAGTTTATTTGACAACGCAAGGAAGGTACATATTTCAAATGATTTGGATCACTTGAACTGAAAATTTCATTGGCCATTCTCCAAATCAAGTCTAATTTATTGACAATCTTAATTGAAAAGGGTCTACCAAGCCTGGGAGTAGTATAATAACAGATTTTTTTTGTTCTGTCCAGATGAGAGCTAGGGCAGGGCCTCCCACAACCTAGAATAGGATATGCCATGAGCTTACCTGCATGACTGATGACAAGAGATGCTGATCGCAAATTGTCAGCAATGCTTGACGAAAAAGTAAAGTAGTCTACAACCAGGGACCCATCTTCTCCACTAGACTGCATATTAAAGGTATAAATGAGAATTGAAATAAGCATGAACTTACAAAACATATCTGACAAGAAAAGAAGCATCCATACTTAATTTGGAATCCACGGTTTTAAAAGCAAATCTCGTCAGAGGAAACATTCTCCCCAATGTAACAAGTGCTTAAAGGAAATTCAAATAAATTTTGTAGGTGCAAAAATATCAGGTGTTTGTCCAAACAACCCTACCGAAACACCCAAATTGTCCACAAACACAGATAAAAACAGAATAGCGTATACACCATAACACCCCTCGCTCTCTCTATATACAAAATGGATTTTAGTTTCCACCATATAATCTCAGCTAAGCGAGTTTTAAATGACCGCATCCTGACCCGCCGTTTACTCTTTCTTTTTTAGTTGAACATTAAAACAACATGGAAGAAGTCACAGCTCCCTACCTCAACACAGACATAGACTGTTGATGTGACAAGAACTATGCCATGATGCTATACTTAGTGTGATCATTGATGTGATAAGAGCCTACATAACAAGGCTACTTAGTGTGACAACTACTGGAGCAACAAGCGGATTTTGATTTATAATAGGCTTAAATCAACGGTTGACAATTCTTTAGTGCTCAAAGAAAAGAAAAAAAGGGGAAGGTAATTCTTTAGTGTTCAAAATTGATTTAACTGAAAATGAATATTCACATGACGGAATGGAACAAATATCTGAACAAGTGATTTAAGTCACATGAAAGTGTCATGCAGGGTAAGATGGAACTTCATTTTATTAAGCTGGAAAGAAGTGGGCACAAAAGTCAACATGAAGTTGCAGCATTACGCTGGAAAAACTGTCCAATGTTTTATAGCTTCTCACCTACCACACTGATGTAGCAAGAGGCTTGAAAGTTCATCACAATGAAAAACCAAAATCAGCACTCAATGCAAGTTTTAATGGGGCATGTATTACCAGGATGCACCCCACCAAAGGATTGAGGATTCTGCATACCAACCAAAATCTTGAGAAGTTCCGACACGACAGATTTACTGGTAGATTCGGGAGTTTAAAAAGAAAGAAAAGTTATTTTTTCCTCTTTTTCATTGTTTTACCAGAGCAAAATTGAATTGTAGGAGATGATTGTTTACGGTATAACAAATTTCCATTATAAAGTTCTTTTTATATGATGTTTCCTATATTAACTTAGTCAATCAGTTTTTTTTTTTTTTTTTTTTATTCACACACAAGTCCATTTACCAAACATTCAAGACATGGTTCAATATTTTAATCAAGTTTTAGCAGATACAAATCCACCAGGGCTACCATCCAACAGATCAACAGTAATATTGATGCTCCTACCTTAATATTTGCTTGCATATTCGTATTTTACTTGCATAAAATTCTCTTGGTAAATTAACACTATTCACAAATGGTGAGACTCCATCCATAAATACTCCATGGGTTAAGCTCCAGTAAGTATCCTCTATAGAACTTGAAAGTGGAGTCTTCACTGGTTTCTCACTTTAAATCCATCATTGCAGCATTCCCCTCAGTCAAGTAGTCAACCAGCCCAAAGTCATATATCTAAACACCATAAAAAATACCTAATGTCCTTATAACCATTTCGACATGTTCTACAACTTCTGCCAGTTAATCTCTTTCAAATCTCTTAACCTAAAAATTTCATCCTCGGGGAAAAAAAAAATCAAAGGAGCTTCCAGTTACCTCTGAACGTCATCCCTCTATATCGCCATATCTTTCGAATTTTTTTATTTTTATCGAGGTGGTAGAGTTTGTTGGATTTGAAAATTAACTAGATAGTTGAAACAATAGGCATCATTGCCTAGTGCTGTGGAAGAAGCTCCGACTGATAAGCATGAAAACTCAGGTTCGAGTCTAAGAGCAACCACTTTGTATAAAAGTAATGTCAAAGCTTAGGTCTTCTCCAGTCTTACCTTGCCACCACCTTGTGTAGAGGGAACAAGATTGAGTAATGGATTTTTTCAATAATAAATCTTGACATTCAGTTTCTATTTTCTAATAATAATAACAATGAAACATGTTAAAGAGGAAAGAAACAAACCTAAAATCAAAGTTTAAAATACCTTGGTGGGGACATAGGATCCACGACCCATTTGAATGAGAAGGTCCGTATATCCTTTGGAAGAGAGTGTTTCCTTAACTTCCTGAGTGTCCACAGCTTTAACAAGAGCATCAAAACAAGTAGTTCCCACAGTCACAAAAACAATTCTCTTGGAATTTGACCGATCTTCGTTATTGCCCATCTATTGCTGGAATGTTTTCTCCAAGTAACCACCCGAGATCAGTAACTGTTACAAGTGGCATCAGATATTTAGTGATCAACACAATTAAGTATCTAAGCACAAAGCAAGGCATAAATTGTAAAGGTAAGCAACAAGAGAATTTACTGTGATCATAGGGAAAAGTACAATAGTAATTATATGAATGACTAAAAATTGCATATAAAGTTTAAGATTGATAGATTTAAAGAAAAAAAAAATATGGAAGGATCAAGGATCAAAGTTTCTTTCTATTTCCTTCAAAACAGCCAGATTGTTTCTGTTTCTCAATGGACTGCAACAAAACATGAGCGTGAGTGGAACCCAAACTTCACATTTTCCATTGAAATGAAGTTTTCAGTCAAAGCATGCTAAAAGTGATTGAAACATAGCATGACAGTCAGATTTTTTTAATAGATAATAACATCCTTTTTTTACACCAAAAAAAAAAAGTGGGGGAGACTGAAGGATTGCAACCTGAAAAGGTAACAAGTATCTCTGAATTCTAACAAAAAGAAACAACGAGAAGTAGAGGAAGAAAAATTTATCTTAATACTTAGTTAAAATTACTAAAGCTTGCTTGCTAATTGTTTCACTTAGGTTATTATTTTAATTGCAGCTCATGTCCAAGTGCCAACATCAAATATATGGGAAGTTGGATAACATCTAAATGAACTTCTGTTAATTCCAAGTATGGGTAGTTGAATAACATCTACATCCAAATCACAGCCATCATGCAAATGGCCATGAAAATGAAGAAAAAAAAAGGGACAAGAAAAAATCAGTCTTATCATCAGCCAAAATAGAGTGAAGATGTTCAGAATTTCTATAACTCTAGTTACCCGAAAAGAGAACACAATAGATATACTTCAAGCATCTAGGTGACAGTATCTAGATAACACAAAAGGCTAACTATTAAGACATCAAAAATCCCCAGTAAATGCAAAGAAACACATAAACTAAATAACAAAGATTCGCACATAGAATAACAGAAAATATAGTGTAACACAACTGAGGAATTATTATAAGTATATAAAGGGTTGAGAAAAAAATAAAGGAAAGTGGTTAGTCCAATTGAAAATACCAAGCAGCTCATACACTAAACTGCCATTTAACAACAACAAAATTTCAACAGCATATAAAACAGTCATCAAAATTATCACAATCAAACAATCACCAAAAAGATATATTTGTATATTAGTTCAGGAGGCATTTTCAGGATTGGGAGATCGAGGATGTTTCTCGTTTTCTAGAGCTGTTGTATAGCCAGGTGATTTCTTTTGGGGAATCAGATTGGTGGTTCTAGATTCCTAACTCGCAGGGCCGTTTTGAGGTTAGGTCCTTTTTCAGATGCCTTTCGGTTGGTCATGGAGATCCCTTCCCTTGGAAGTCTATTTGGCGGTCCAAGGCTCCCCGCAAGGTCGTCTTTTTTGCTTGGACCTCTGTCCTGGGTAAGATTTTAACCCAGGATAATCTGAGGAGGAGGAATTAGGTGGTGGTCAATCACTGTTATATGTGTTTGTGTAATGAGGAGTCTGTTGATCACCTCCTTTTACATTGCAGCATGGCCAGAGATTGTTGGGATTTGATGCTTAGATTATTTGGGGTCCATTGGGCCATGCCTTATTCCTCTAGAGGGTTGATTGAGGCTTGGAGAGGCGTCTCCGTTGGGGCTGGCATTGAGGACGCTTGGAGGGCTACGCCGCTTTGTATCTGGTGGTGTATTTGGCTTGAGAGAAATAGGAGATATTTTGACGGAAAAAAGAAGCCTGTTTCTATGCTTAAGTTCTATGTTATTTCTACTCTTTTTTGTTGGGTTCCAGGGAGAGATTATAGATTTATGGAGGAAATTATTGTTTTCTTGGCCTCTCTGAAGGTCTAAGATGCCCTTTGGCCCTTTTGTTTTCTTTTGTTTCTCTGGGCTTCGCTCCCCTTTTGAGCGTTTTTAATAAAATCTTACTTATCAAAAAAAAAAAAAAAAAGCAATACGCAAGAAAACGAATAATATATGTGAACCAAGAGAAACCAGTGTCACCAATATCATTTCAAGAGAGCTAAACAAGTGCATGTTTAATGAAGGTGGAAAAATAATAATTCAAGATAGCTGTTTCATTTACATTGAAATCAGTTCTAAAAATAATGGAACCAAAACAACTTTCTACGTAATGAATATTGATGTGAATCATACAACTTTGTGATTTGGATAATTCCCCAAATTTTTAAGATCTTTCTTCTTCAACCTGAAAAATAAAATAGTTTACCCGGTGCTCGTGATCATCACCTGAGGGGATAAACAATAGTTCTTCATTCAAAAGGAATTCAACCAGACTTTTCCTCCTATCTAAAGTTTCTCTTAATGTCTCTGACTCCCATGAGTTTTGCTCCATTTAAACATATTTGATGTAGATTTTAATATATATATTGCTCGGAAAATTGGAAAATTGAATGGATTCTATTGCAAAAAGAAGTCAATAAAACCAGTATTGAAGATCATTCTAAACAGTACTTGGTGATACCAATAACGCTAGTATTAACATCTATATCTACATAGTCATACCATTCATTAACAATTGCAGCTCACTACCATACTCATCTCTCTTCATCCTCAAATTGACAGGAGACAACAACCCTTTAATTTTCTCCAAATGCACTATGAATTAAGCAAAATTGAGTTAAAAATACCAAATAAAGAACAAACATATCCCCAATATAGGGTGAATGACAGAGACCCACTTACGCAAGTTCTATCGAGATTTTATATGAAATCAAACAACAATGCAACGTAATTTCGTAAAGACCATCTCAAATCAAACCCAAAATCAAGATAACAACAAACAATTAAATGAATTTTGCGAATTTCCAAAATTAAGCCTTGCGAAATAAAAAAACATAAACCAGTAAAAAAAAAAAAATCAAAGTACCTCGAATATAGGATGGTCGTTCGTCCTCGATGGAGGTCGCCGGCGGCTCTAAGTAGTAGGATTTGATCGTCGCTGCCCCCGTCGGAGAGAGAACGTAAGAAGCTGAAAGAAAATTCGTTTAGTTATATTTCGTTTCGAGAAGTAGATAACTGTAACTCAGCAGCGAAACTTACCGTCTTACCCCCCAAAAAAAAGCAAATCACAGTAAAAATATTTCAGAGTTTCACACGCTAAAATAAGCCAAACAATGAATTTTTTTTTTTTTTTTTTTTGTGGCATTGTGTGGGATATAATATTTTCTACAATTTTTATTTATTTATTTAATTTTCATTTTCTAAGTTCTCCATGCTTAATTTCACTTTATCATTACATATTACATACTAGTAGTGGTAGACATTATGATTTTTTTTTTTTTTTTTGGTGGCATTGTGTGGGATATAATATTTTCTACAATTTTTTTTTTTATTTATTTAATTTTCTTTTTTTGAGTTCTCCATGCTTAATTTCACTTTATCATTACATATTACATATACTAGTAATGGTAGACATTATGAATTTTTTTTTTCCTCTTAGCATGCTGATCAAAAGATTCAATACCTTGCAAATGGTCAAACTTTTGAAAATTATGTAAAATTTGGTGAGACCCTAGTTTGATGAGAAATTATTAAATCTCGGATTATTTAATAATTTATTTTTAATTTGACAAATTTTCGTTTAGTCGATCCAATTCAGGTGATAAATTTGAAAATAAGTAAAGATATTAAATTCTTTTCTTTTTTTTTTATTTTTTTTGTCGTGTAATATCAGCCAAATGTCATTTTTAGAATTGGAAAGTATACAAAACTACCTAAAAAAGGCAATACAAAACTAATTTTAAAATGAGGGCATATTAGTAAGGGAAAATTTAAAATTTCGCCAGTTAACTTTGTTTATTTTAAAAAATGTCAACTTTTTCAACTTTTGGGGTTCACTGCTAAGTTTTTTACACTAATTACAAATTTATACAAAAATACTATTTAGACTTTTTCATGTTCCAAAATACCCTTGACCTTCACCGGTCTTGAGGATTTCAATGTACAGTCCGGTGAAGAGTACAGAGAACATTTCCGGCGAGCCTTAGATGACCCAATTCAGGTGAGCTCCAAACGTACTAACGGCAATCCTCTTCGTTGTTGTCGCTGAGGTCGCTGCTTGGTAGCGATCTGGAGCAGCCAGTTTCGCCGGAGGCGGAAGTGGCACAGGAAGCAACGTTAACAGAGAGAGAACTCCAAAATCGAGCTCCATTAACAGATCCAGTTCGGTGGGCTTCACTAACAGACCAGTTTGAGCTCCATTAACAAACCCAATTTGGCGAGTTTCATTAACCTTGGCCGGAGAATCTCGTTTTTGGTTCAGTCTGTCTCTAAGGAAATACAAAAAATAGAATAGAGAGAACTCCAAAATCTTCATCAACGAAGAGTTCCATAAAAGTTCAACAAGTGACCATTGATTCCTGCGAAACCCAAGCTGTACTCCGAGCTCTTGTGAACTGACAATAAGCTTCACGGCCTGCTTGCCTTCTTCGGTGACAAATCAGTAAACTCCTCGACTTGCATTCGACTACGGTGAACAAACGGCGAGCTCTGTTTCTGTCTTAGAAGCTCACTGTTGCCTTTTTGCAATGGAGGGCCTAGGTAGTGTGGACACGTTTCTGAACTGAAGTGGGTTTCGCCGAAAAGGAATGCACCGGACTAAAATGGAATTTGAAGAAACTTGGAGCTCGTCGGAACTGGAGTGGACTTCACTGAACTTGGTTGCCTCTGTTCGGCTTCACTGGACTGAACTGGGTTCGTCGAAAATGGTGCTCGTTGTATTAAACTTGATTGTTGTTGCTTCGACCTCACTGTTGGGTCTTCAATGGAATTTTCGGTTGAGTTGCTGAAATTCGTTCTGGTTGTTGGGTAATTTTTAAAATTTGGAGATTTTGTGTGTGTGTGTGTGTGTAATTTTGCCTAAATGGGTGTCATGGGTTTTCATGGGTATGTGTTTTTTCATCTGGTGTTGTATTTTGGCCATTTGAGGAAGTTTTTTTTTTCCCGGGCATTTGAGGAAGTTGAGGATGGCAATGAGAGGGCCGGCCGACGAAGAAAGAGATAGATGAGAGAGGAGCCCAATTGAAAAAAAAAAAGGGAAAATTACATATAAATGGAGTTAAAGTTTCATATTTACTTAGAGACTGAGTCAAAGTTCCATATTTCTCTAAAATGGATTGATGAGGTGGCACATGGTTTTTTACTGTTTAGAAAATTGTGGTGCCTAAAATGCCCTTCCCTAACAAAAAAGTAGTACCTTCAGTTCAAAAAAGTAGTACCTTCGAAGAAAAAGTAGTACCTTTGCGGGTGTTTAAAAAACATAGTACCTGGACACCAAAAAGTAGTACCTTCAGTTCAAAAAAGTAGTACCTTCGAAGAAAAAGTAGTACCTTCGCGGAAGGGTATTTTAGGCATCACAATTTCTAAACAGTAAAAAACCATGTGCCACCTCAGCAATCCATTTTAGAGAAATATGGAACTTTGACTCAGCCTCTAAGTAAATATGGAACTTTGACTCCATTTATATGTAATTTTCCCAAAAAAAAAAAACCAAAAGTTATCAAGGGTAATATTGAAATTTCACATTTTACCTGAAGAATAGCGTTTTTGGACCAAAAAAAATAAAAATAAAAATAAAAAAAAAAAGAAAAAAAAGAAGAAGTTTAAATAATATTTTTTATAGATTTGTAATTAGCTTCAAAAAAACTTAACAGTCCACTCTAATAATTTGAAAAAATTAATATTTTTTTAAATAAATAAAGTTAACTAGTGAAATTTTAAATTTTTCCTTTTAAGTTAAAAATATAACATTTTTTTTTTTTTTAAATCCGGCAACTTCCAACAAAAGGTTAGACAAGGAAGTCAGAGATAACTTTTTAATAGTATAAAAAGGCTTCTATAATTTTTTTTTGGGAAAACTAGGCTTTGGTGACCAAAATTAAACAAAATTGGTGTAAAGTGACCTTAAAGTCAAGAAAAAAATAAACAGTCACCCAATCTAAACAGTCACCCAATCTAAAACTTAATTGCTAACAAGTGACTATTTGATAGTTATTACATAAATGTCCTTCTTATAATATATTATTTTATAAGTGGACAAATTTACCCTATACATTAAACCCAATAAATTTTAGCATCAATTGATTATAAATGAGTAATTTTTGAATTGATCTGATCCTCTGGTTATATGTCACCAAATCATACAACAAGAAGGTCACAAATCCAGCTTGAGGGAAAGCACTAAAACAAGGGCTCGCAGCCCTAAAAGAGCCTTGGAATGACAGAATGAGTAACCACAACCTAGGATGATAAAAGAGCCTTTATGTAGCCTCTACCCCATCCTTTAGCATGCACTAAGGTCCCTAAGCAATACCAACCCACCATTGCAGAAGCCTTGCTAATGGCTATAGAAAAAATAATGCAAAAGGATGATATACTAGAGCAATATAGTCGGACCTCGCCTCTATAAATATTATATAAAGAGTATTTTGGGATTGAACTTCCAAATTATTCTTAAATATTATTCTTGATTTGTCACTATAAATATTTATGTTTTGCAGCATGGTGATAAAGAAACCAAAATTTTTTAAATTGATAAATTGCAAACTAAAAAGGGAAAAAGAAAACAATAAATGAGAGAGAGAGAGAGAGAGAGGAGTATGCTGAATCTAACGATTTATTCTTTGAATTGGATGGCAATTTTGTCATGAAAAATTTATTTTTAGAATGTCTATCATATCTTTAAGTTTGTTTTGACCAAATTATCCTTACATGGTCACTTACTAGCAATTAAATTTCATCATCGGTGACTATTCATACTTTATGGTCACTCTAGAGCAATTTTGTTTAGGTTTGGTCACTAAAATCTAATTTTTCCTTTTTTTTTGCTGGTACCGGAACTTACCTCGGTAAGGCCCCTTTAGACCTCCTCCAAGCTACAAATCAGAAATGCTGTCGACAGCCCCACATCTCAACAATAATTTCAGTCGAACCTGGGACATGAGCATTTTCATGTCGTTATCTTACTAACTCCGTCAAGCCCCGAGGGCATGCTTCTATAATTTTAATCATATACAAGGCTTCAATTCCAAGCTTTTTAAATCTCATTTTGTTAAGGGAGTATTTTAAAAAGAAAAAAGTTATTTAAAAAAAAAAAAAAAAAAAAACATTTTTATAAATTTGTTACCAAAAGTCGACATATTCAAAAGTTTCCTTTTGTATGATCGTCAAAGACCCATAGACGTCAACAATTAACTACTCCGTACTACATCTCCACCATTTAATTTCTCTCTCTACATATTCTCTCTCTAAAACATGGGCCTTTCATGGAGTTCCAGAAGAAGACACAACCGCCGCCAGAACCACAACCATCAACACCCATCTCTCCCTCAATCCAACCCTCCATTTTCAAACCCTCCTCCAGCACCACCCACACCGTCACCGCCGCCACCGTCCTATGCCTTCGCGGCGAACGCTCCTTATCATGCGCCCCAAAACCCCCCTCCTCAAAATCCTTATCCTACGCTCCCTTCTCCCTCACCCCCTCCTCAATTCCATGCCCACAATTACTCCAATTACGCTAGACCCATGGTGGGTCAGTCCAGTTACAATCCGTATTACTCCAATATGAGTAGTGGGTGGACCCCTCCGGCGGGGCCATCGCAGCTGGTATCTCCGCCGCCTTATGTGGATCATCAGAGTACGAAGAGAATCAAGAATGATGCGAATGTTCATAAGGATACAATAAGGGTTGAATCGGATGACGAGAATCCAGACACCCACTTGGTTTCTTTCATATTCGATGCCACCGTCGATGGAAGGTATCAGATCTTGTTTATGATACGGGTTGTTTTATGCTTATCTTGACACGTACGAATTTATATAGTTGAAAGATTATATTTCTGTGTGTAATGTGAAAATTCCTTTGTGTTTTAGTAATTTGATTTTTTTGTTGTGCTTTGTATTGGGCAATGGGGTTTGGTATCTGATGCTGATTTTGTTAAAAATTAATTGGTTTTGTAATCCTTTGTAAATTGTTTTCCGAATTTGAACTAATTTACATGGGGCAGAACAGGTAAACAGCAGGAAATAATGCTATAGGGATAAAGACTATAATTTGTTTGTTAAAATTCAGTGACTAGAAGATATTGATGGTCGGTCGATTTGGGTAGACGGCTGCAAGATCCTTTATTGGACCATTAGGAACAAGGATGTGGGTGTTCCCTGCAGTCTATGATTTGATAGAGGCATTACAGTAGATAGTTCTGAATGAGAAAAAGGATCTGCTTTATTGATCCATAACAGTGAGGATCCACGGCTTTATTGATCATTGCATTGTAAACCGGACGGCTCATGGGGGTGTGTAACGGTATCGGACCCTTGAAAAATGATTACGAACAGGGCAACGATACACCATGATTGGGAACACTACTTTTAATTATGTTAGTTTATTCTTTTATTACTTCAGCTGGTTGTTGGACTTATGCTCAAGTCATTGCGCTTCAGTTTGTCTGGTGAAATTGGTAACTGAAGGGAGTTGGATGCTTCAAATTGGTATCTTTTAAGCATGGTATACTACTGGATAAGTGGTGTTTCATGATAATTAGTTCCAAGTCAGAGTTGAACCTTATTAATCCATCATCTCAGATCCACAAAATCTTGTTTATTCTGTAACGTGTTATGTGTTGACAACTATTAAACATCTTTTAGTCAAGTGACCAAAATGGTGGGAGAATCTTTTATGTTTTTCCTGAAACTTTGGATGAGGATATACTTTAGTGATCATTGAGTTACTTGAATGATACTAATGCCCCTTTTCTTTCAGGGAAAAACACAGTGCTTTTTTATTTTGTTGAAGTTGAATTACTAGCATAAAGACTGTCACTTAGAAGAGGTAAATGAGGTTATTATGAATCTGATGGATTTTGTGGGGAGGAATGTCATGCCCTGATATTTTAGGATGTGATAAAATTAAACAGAATAAGAGGAAAAAAAAAACTTCATTTATTTTTTCAATTTTCATTTTAGCCAAGAATACATTAAGCACAACACATGCACACGCGCAGGGACGGACCCAGGAATTTGTGTGAAGGAAGGCAATAGTGCGAATTTTTTGTAATTTTAGGGGGGACAATATGAAATTTTCATAAGTATATAGTTCAAAAAGGAAAAATCAGTAGTATTAATGCTAAAAAAAAAAAAAAAATCAGTGGGGGCAATTGGCCCCCCGGGTTGTATACTAGATCTGTCCCTGCACGTGCGTGCATACACGCACAAATCTCAGCTAAATCTAGTTTCTGTTTCTAGTACTTAAGCCCCTAGGGTATAGTCCTCTGATGGATCCTCCTCTTCGCTATTGGAGCCGATGTCGATGATATTACTACTCGATGCCTCCCTTGCTACCACTAAGCTAGCCAAGTTTTGGATTTCTTGGTAAAGCACTTTAAATCAGACATCAACCTTATGATGCAACTCAGCTACCATCTTCTCCAAAAGAAAAGGGGGTGGTGCATTTGGGATGCAGCCTATGGTAGAGTCACGGATCATGGGTACATGTCTAGGTTGCTCATTTTTGCACATATATTCCAATCTGTTTTTCTTTAAAATCTTGACATTAAAGATTAAACACATGTCATAGTAAGTAATATGAACAAAAACGTAACTCCAATGACAAGATAGGATAGTAATATCATATATAATATAATATATTCTTTTTGTTATTTGAATAGTTTCATCTTCTAACTTATGTAACTGTAGTATAGAAATTATAAATTAATTAAAGTTTATAATTGTCTTACTCAATAGATTTATAAATGAAAATTTATACTTTTATTATTTGTGTCCATGCCATGTCTGTGTCCTGCTTTTTTAGAATTTGACTTTTTGGCGTATCTATGTTGTTTCGTGTCCGTGTCCATGCTTCTTAGCTTGCTATTAGTTTTTTTTCGGGAACATTTGAACTCAACTGTTTTGTGGAACTCTTCAAAAATAATGGTTTTTTTTTTTTTTTTTCTTAGTCATTGCCTAAGAAATTGTCTTCAAACTTGAACTTTGTGTTTTAGAATATGAGCTGTTTTGTGGAACACTTCAAAACAATATTTTTGTTTCTTAGTAATTGCCTAATAAATTGTCTTCAAACTTGAACTTTGAAGTTTGAGTTTTAGAATATGATCTGTTTTTATCGTTTTTTTTACTTATTATTACTTTTTTTAAAAATGTTTTGTGCTGGGGGAATAAGCTGGTTAGTCTATTACCTTTGTTTTGGTCAACATTTAATTGGTTTGTCACATAGTTTTACAATTTTTTCTGATAATTTATTGCACGTTTGACTAGCTCAGGATTTTATTAGTACTTTCATTTATATGATGTTTTCTTTTGGTTTTGCCTCTTCTAAAATTACAGTATCACCATTTTGTACTTTGCCAAGGAAGAAGCCAACTGTACCTTTACTTCGTTGTTCCCTGAGATCCATAAGTCTGTGAGAATTCCCTTTCAGAAAGGATCGGGCCAGAAATTCTGTCAGCCTTCAGGAACTGGAGTTGACTTAGGCTTCTTTTCCACGGATGAGCTATCAAAGCCTCTTCCTGAAGATGTTTTTCCACTTGTTATATCATTGGAGTCATGTTTACCATCTACGGCGGTTGATGAGCGGCCTAATAAACCACTGGTGACTACAAATGTTCATGCACAGATCACTCAAGCTGTCTTGGAGAAGAACAATGAGGGCCACTTCAATGGGAAAGTTATCAAGCAGATTTTGTGGGTTGATGGAGTTCGCTATGAGCTACATGAGATCTATGGAATCAGCAATTCGGACAAAGCAACCATCAACAGCAATGATTCAGGAAAAGAATGTGTGATTTGCATGACCGAGCCGAAGGATACAACTGTTTTGCCATGTAGGCATATGGTGAGAGTCCCACTTTGACTCAAATTTTTATTTTATTTTATTTTTTAATAAAAGATTTTGAGATATGAATATATTTTGAGGTAATGAGTAGATGCAGTGTTTTCAAAACCGGACCAGTTACTGTTTGGGCCAAGGAGGTCAGCTTGATTCGTAAGAGCCAGTCTGTGTGCTGAGCTTAGGTAAAGCTACCCGGGGAAAAAGGAGGTGGAACTAGTTTTAGGAAGTGGTTGTAGCTTTGTTGGGATTGAAAAAACAGCGTTTTAGGAGGTGGTTGCAGCAAAATATCAAGGGGTTTGGTTGAGTTCAACTGAACTGGGTTGATATAGTGCTTAAAGCACATATGTAAGAGCTGCTGCATGATGGCTGACCGAATGGTTTCCAGTCCAGTAGCTGTTTTAGGCCTTAATTTATATTACTTTAATTTGATACATTCTCACTATTTATAAATTTTTGAATGCCCGGAAAGTTTTTGCTGGTCTCGGTTGTCAATGGGTATGATTTTCTGTTTAAATAATGACATGGTACGAAGTGTTTCTCTCCACGCCAAACAATTTTGTTTGAGATTATTCCCCTGGATTTTTCTGAGGAAAAATTCTGTAGCATTGTTTAGCAAATGATGTGATTGGAGAGATATCCTGGGAGACAGGTTTTTGAGCAGCCATCGTACATACTTGAGACTTGTTTTTATGATTAACTAGCTTAAACTTGTATTTTCCGTTGGTAATAATTCCCAAATGGAACCTAAATGGAAGTAATGACAGGAACGATATACTACTCTTTTTTAAACATCTATCATCTCCTCAGAAATGTTTAACCAAAATGTATAAAGCTATTCTCTTAGTTTGCTCTTATTTTGGCTTGTAATATTTGAAAACCATTGTTGTATTTGCAGTGTATGTGCAGTGATTGTGCCAAAGAATTGAGGCTCCAGTCGAATAAGTGTCCTATATGTCGCGAGCCGATTCAGAAGCTTATCGAGATTAAGGTTAATGATGGTAATTACTGAAAGACCCTCTTGTACATGCTGGATTTCTTGTATGGTCTGCCTCTTGTGTTGTATTCTATATACATGGGAATTTCTATCCCATTCTGCACAATAATCAAGTCTTGGCTTATATATTCCTTGTGTTTTCTCAGCAGTACCAGCACTACCATAAGGAGGGTGTTTAGTAGGAAGACCTATACTTGTACAAAAGAAACTACAAAAAAATAATGGGTGGTTGCTATTTGTACAGCCCTTTAAGGGACAGTTTCAAATTTGGGAACAACCACCATTTTCTTTGTACAAAATTTGATTATTTTTTCATTTGTCTTATTTTTATTTATTTTTTAAAATTTGGATATATCCTTTCTCTTGATTTGGTGTGATTACATCTCCGCTGATGAAAAGAAATTATAGTTATTGGGAATGTCATAAACATTACATGAATGGTCCAAATCTTCATCTAATTACATTGTTTAAGAGAGGAAGATTTGCTATTGGAATAGATATTTGGACTTGAACTCTCGACTGTCTCTTTTGGGCTTAAACCCTTGACTTTCTCCTTTGAAAGGTGAGGAAGTAGCATTAGACTATAGGGCCTTTGTTTATTCTTATCATTGTTAATGCCTATAATTGCATTGGCATTGTTCCTCTTTGCACTATCACAAAAACAAAGTGGTGCTGCACTGGATATATCCATTCAATTAGAACATGTTTCAAAATTGGATTAATTAATATATATATATATATATATATATATATATATATATATAATACACACAACATATTATGGAGAATATGAGTTATAAAAGACACATAAAATACACACAACATATTATGGAGAATATGAGTTACAAAAGACACAAAATATGGTGATATATATATATATATAATACCAGATTTATCTCAGAACTCAAAGTATCAGCCATGGTGGCATAATGCTGTCACGTTATTACCTTTGACGAGGAAACTATAAAAGAGTAATGTTGTTGTACAAGCTTTTTTGACCATCCGTAACATGAGTCAAATTAAAAGCTCAATTTCTAATGCTACACAAATTTTGTAATGTCATGTAATACGAGAAACTAATATTAATGTATGCTACACAAATTTTGTAATGTCATGTAATACGAGAAACTAATATTAATGTCCCAAGATGATTTAAAGCTGCATTAAAATAAAGTTCAATGCGAGACTCTCCAATTTGACCAGAAGGTGTGCCACGCGGAGGAGGAAATTGAATCACTTCTGCATGACAAATGTGAAGAATTCGGTTGTCTAGAAAATTTAAGAGTGTTAAGAAAGTTAGAGAATTCTATAATATAAGAGGGTTTGTAAAAATTTATTGAGTATAGAAATTTCTAGAAATTAGGAAATTAGAAAAGAGTTTATAAACATTTGAGATATTTATGTGAACAAATTTTAGAGAGTAATCTCAACCATTGATTATTATGCATCCTAACACTCTATTAGATAGAGTGACGTTTATATAAAGTGCTAGTTTTTTTTGTAAGATTACTTTGAGCAATGAGTTGAACATGCTACCACAAGTGTAGCGAGTGTTTATTTCCTCTTACTAGGGAGAGGAAACCATTTGAAAAATTACAATACTAACATGAGAAAAGTCTTTGTTGATAATAACTAGGGCATCTTGGAGATAATATAGTTGTATTTGATTATAAACAAATTATTAACGTCAATACAATTTCGGAATATTGTCGTCCACCCACACAACATCTCATATCTTAATTCATGAGTAAATTCATTTTCATACTTTGAATATATATATATATATATATATATATATATATATATATTATAATTTTATGATAATTATAAAAAAGAGAATTGTTATATATACATATATAAAATGTAATAAAAAGTTAAGAAATATTATTGTATGATATTCTTTGAATGGGTTAAAAGGAAAATTTTATAAAATATAATACTATTACTAGGGCAGCTATGTTTTGTTGAGTGAGAGTGTTAAGCCTTAAAAAAATAAATAAGAAAATAAATAAGACCAATAATGTAGCATTAGAATCAATGGTTGGAACGACTAGAAGAGATATCGTCACAAATAAAAGTATAAAGAAAAATGAGTTGTAACACCCATCAATAAGAAAATAAAAGAGAATACATTTAGATGGTTTGGACATATATGAAGATTTGTAGATGCACTAGTGAAAATTTAGGACCCGTTTGGTTCAGTTTTTCAAGAACAGTTTTCTATTTTTCTAAGAACTGAAAACTAACAAATTGTACAAAAATCTGATTGGTTAGTAATTTCTAATATAAAAACCTAGTTAAAAAAATGTATGTTTTAGATAAGTGTCTTTTATAGTTCTCTTAAAATAGTTTTGTGTTTTCTAAGTTATTTAGAACTATTTTGTGATTGATAAGCTAAACAATTTTTTAATTTTCATAGAAAATAAGATACAAAAAGAGAAACAAAAAAAAAAATAACATAGGATGAATTTATTAAAAATAACTTTAAAAAATTAAATAGAGTAAGTTGATAGAAAGAAATGGAGGCACATAATTCATGTGTTGGATATTTGAAAACAATAAATATAATTAACAATTTTTTTTTTTTTTTGGGTCTTGACCAATGAGGCTCAATTGAAAGTGGCCCAGCAACCCGGCCCAATAGTAGAGCTTCCTCAGTACGCAAAGCATGCAAGGGTCATGTGTATTAGCACTTAGTGAATTAATTCAATTAAGACTATTCAAAAATAGTTCTATAAGAATGTATTTATATATTATAAAAAAATTTTAGTAATGGTCTCGATTGAACTAGTCTACTACATCATATCATATGATTCAGAATTATCTAATAATTTCTCTTCACATGTCATGTGACAGGTGAAGAAAGTATAATTTTCACTTATACTCACTTATCGCTTTTTCCTTGATCCCCATAAAAATTGAGTAGTGCTGTAATTCAAATTGGTGATAAAAAAAAAAAATTGTAATTCAAATAGTTAGATCAAAGGTCTAAACAGAGGACAATATGGTCCCAACACTGAGAGCCAGAGGTAGAGCGAGAGGGATTAGAAGGATATGGAATTATTCATATTATATTTAACCCACCAAAACCAATATTTTGAAAAACATTTTTTTTATAAAAAAAATGTTGGTGTCGAAAATAAGTGGATTAAAAACATACACATAATAATATTTTTAGAAGAGAAGCGGAGAGAAATGAAAATTTGAAAAAAATTATTTCACTTAATTAAATTAGTTAGAGTACCTGAATTTATCTAGGCTTAAACATATAGATGTCTAACAAGTACACTTTCCAATTACTTCAATGAATATAGTTTTAGTAGACTCAATTCTCATATCTGGCACTAAACATGTGGACTATAGTAGCAGTCTTAACTCTCAATCAAGACAATTACTCTCAATAACATAAAATTAACACACCCCCTTAAAATAAAATAATAATGGTAAACATATAATGAAATTTAATATCTAACACTTAGAGCCATCAAAAAAACAAAAAAAAAAATGACAGTTTATTGACAACAGAAATTTACAGACAAACACAAGCTCAAGCCAACATGCATAACACATGCTCTCCATCCCCCCTCTCTTTCTCTCTCTCTCTCTCACACACACATACAGATACACACACAATCTTTCTCTCTCTATATATATACCTATGGAGTGGAGGTGAAGTTGAAGTTGGCACAAGAAGTGCTCTGGGAGAGCAGTGAAGAGCTAAAACCCAACACAGACCTTGCCAGATCAAACTGAAGCAGATTATTCTCCAACTGGTACTCCCGTATCACAATCGAAGCTTTAGGATGTATAGTTATACCAGATTTCTCTCAGAACTCAAAGTATCAGCCATACTACTCTTCTTTGATGCTGTCACGTTATTACCTTTGATGAGGAGACTATAAAAGACTCAATTTCTAATGCTACACAAATTTTGTAATGTCATTTAATACAAGAAACTAATATTGATATCTCTAAGATGATATAAAGCTGCATCAAAATAAAGTTCGATGTGAGATTCTTGAATTTGACTAGATGTCACACAAAGGAGGATTTCATATCGCGTTTGCATGACAAATGTGAGCACAAAGAAAGATTTTGTATCGCATTTGCATGACAAATGTGAAGAATTAGGTTTACATTTCATACTCGTTTAGAAAATTGTGGGGTGTTAACAAAGTTAAAGATTTCTCGTGTAGAGAATTGTGGAGTGTTAACAAGTTAGAGAATTCTAGAATATATGAGAGTTTGTAAAAATTTATACAGAGATTTCTAGAAATTAGAGAATTCAAAAAGATTTTGTAAATATGTGACATATTAATGTGAGAATTTTAAAGAGTAATCTTACCCATTGATTATTATGTATCCTAAGCGTTTGTTAGAGAGAAGGACGTTTATATAAAGGGTGAGTTTTATTTGTAACACAAGTTTGAATCGTGTGTGTAACACAATACCAAAAGTTATTTCTTGTTATTAAGGAGAGAAAAGCATTTGAGACATTACCATATTAACAGAATAATAATGAAAAAACTATTTGTTGATAATAACAAGGGTCTGATTGTATTTGGTTGAAATGAAACTAAATTAAATCGAGAAGAAACTATCCAACCACTGTATTATGGTTGTATAATTTTTTTTTAATAATTATAAAGAAGAGAATTGTTATATACTAAAAAAATGTAAATAAAAATATTTATATTTATAAAACATTTATAGAAACTAGTAAAATCAACCTGATTAAACTTCTAACAATTTTTTCAGATGCTAACACTAATGAAGAGGTTCATAACAGTATGAGAGATAATGAATACACTCACGAAAAAAAAATAATAATGGATATTATTGTGTGAGATTCTTAGAATGGGTTAAAACTTAAAAAGGAAAATTTTATAAAATATAATACTATTATTAGGGCAACTATATTTTGTTGAGTGGAGTATTAAGCCTTAAAATTAAACAATAAAAAATAAACAAGAACAACGACGTAGCATTAGGTTCAATGGTTGGAGTGACACCCATCAACGAGAAAATAAAAGAGAGTATATTTATATGGTTTGAACATATACTAAGACTTGTAGATGTGTCAGTGAAAAGAGGAAGTTTAGGGCAGTTTTTCGAGAACAATTTTCTATTTTTTTAAAAATCAGAAATTGTACAAAAATCTGACTAGTTGGTAATTTTCAATCTAAGAATTCAATTTAAAAAATGTATGTTTTAGATAAATATCATTTATAGTTGTCTAAGACAACTTTGTGTTTCCTGAGTTATTTAGAATTGTTTTATGACTAATAAACTAAATAATTTTTTAATTTTCATAAAAAAGAAGATACAAAAAGAGAGACAAAAAATATCATGAGATGAATTTATTAAAGAAATGAAGGCAGATAATTCATGGATCATATATATATATATATATATTCAAATAAGACATGAATGATGATGATTCTTTGAAAACAATAATTGTAATTAAAATTTTTTATTTTTGTCTTGACCTATGAGGCCCAATTGTAAGTGGCCCAGCAAACCGGCCCAAAGTAGAGCTATCTCGGTAGGCAAAGCATGCAAGGTAATCATTAAAAATTATAATTAGGGGTGGCAAATTACGATACGACCTGTCAACACGATACGAGATAAGCGGGTTTAGGTTGACTTTAAATGAATTTGGATTATAAACGGATCGACACAATTAACCCGTTTACTTAACCGTATCGGGTTAGAGTTGAGGGAGTTCAACACGTATAATTCATTTATATACGTTTAACTCAATATGTCATAATCATGAATATGACATATGTAATATGTTATCTGTTTAAACATAATTACTATAGACAGTTAAGTCGTTTTAACATAAATATTGACTACGCCTTATGATTTTTCTTCTTATTTTGAATATTTTGGTTAATTGTGACAAATTTTTTCTAGTATTTATTATTTGATTGAATCTTAAATGTCTCGTTTTGATAAACGGGTTAACACGTTAACCCATTTAATAAACAGGTCGAGTTAATATTGAGGGGTCCTGACACGATTATTAAATGGTTTGAATTTACCTATTTAGTAGAATACATATATATCAACGACACGATTATGACCCATTGCCACCCCTAACCATAACCTTTTTGCACATAGAGCAAAGAGTAAAGGAAAGTCCAACAAAGCTTGCAATGAGAAATTATTAAATGGTCATGTCTATTGATACTTAGTCAATTAATTCAATTTAAAATTTTCAATTAAGAAAATGATCTTACAAAAATGTTTTAATACATTATAAATAAATTTCAATAATTATTTGGATTGAACTGATCCACTACGTGTCAAATGATCTAAAGCCATCTAATAATTTCTTACTTGCAATTAGACTTGAATAATATTAGTAGTGACACGTGAACAGAGCGGAAACTCACTTCCTATTTTTAGCTTGATCCCCATAAAAACCGAGTAGTGAACTGTAAAAAAAAAAACTGTAATTCAAATAGTTAGACGACCAAAGGTCTAAACAGAGGACAATATGGTCCCATCTCTGAGAGCCAAAGGACCCCTATACTGAGAGGGATTAGAAGGATATGGAATTATGCATATTATATTTAATCATTGCCAACCAAAACCAATATTTTGAAAAACATTTAAAAAAAAAAAAGAAATTCTTGGTGTCGAAAATAACTGGATTAAAAACATACACATATTAAGAGAAGTGGAGAGAAACGAAAATTTGAAAAAAATTATTTCACTTAATTAAATTAGTTAGAGTGGGTGAATTTATATAGGCTTAAACATATATATGTCTAACAAATACACTATCCAATTACTTCAATCAATATAGTTTTAGTAGACTATATTAATTGAAATTTATACCCTGCTGATTTATCAATGAAATTTCTTGGTCAAAAAAAAAAAAAAAAAAAAAAAGGTTTTAGTAGACTTAAGTCCCATGTCTGTCACTGACACATGGACTTAAAGCAGTAGTCTTAACTCTCATCAAGACAATTACTCTGAATAACATAAAATTAACACACCTCAAAACCCTTAGAATAAAATAATAATGGCAAAAATAGAATCAAATTTAATATCTAACACTTCAGCCATCAAAAACAAAGATGGCAGTTTATTGACAACAGAAATTTACACACACAGACACAAGCTCACACCAACATACATAACACATGCTCTCCATCCCCCTCTCTCTCACACACACACACACATTACACACACACAATCTTTCTCTCTCTCTCTCTATATATACCTATGGAGTGGAGGTGAAGTTGAAGTTGGCACAAGAAGTGCGCTGGGACAGCAGCGAAGAGCTAAAACCCAACACAGACCTTGCCAGATCAAACTGAAGCAGATTATTCTCCAACTGGTACGCCCCTATCACAATCGAAGCTTTAGGCGGGTTCAACCCTCCGTCAACAAACGCCAAACACGCCACCCCAGGCCGCGCCTGCACCACCGAGTTCGCGCCAAACATCCTCCAAACCACGTTTTGTTTGTGCAAAACAAAATCAATGCTAGGAACCCCATACCCAACTCTCGTGCTCTTCAACTTCCTCGCATCGAAACAAGTTTCGAACGGCGCCACCGGCGTCACTTGGGGCTCATTCGGGAGCTGGCTGCAAAAGAACTGCGTAAAAGCCCTATAAATTGAGTGCTCTAGAATTGTGTAAGGACTTGTTGTGGTGATCATTGTCCCACCAAACCCTTGTTTGTTTTTCGAAAGTACAGATGTGTTGATTGGGACAGGCTTTTGATTGATCCTTATTGAGCTCACTTGTATGTAGTACTCTCCTAGTGGACTAATTGTCAATGGAGTAAACCCTAACTGGCGCGAAATATCTAAGCCGGGGCGAGTATAGTAAGGTCCATTTCCAAAGAAAATGACTCCATTTGTATTCGTAGTTGAAGAGAGACACAAAGCAAATTGTGGCCTAAACCCAAAGTGAGAGGCAAGTTGAGTTGGTAAGGCTATTGGTGTGTGCCCTAGACCAGCTACTCCTTGGACATTTTTGGGTAGCGGTCCTTGGAACAAGAATGAAGGTGCACAAGCAAAGAGGAACTCCGGGACAGTGACCATAGGCCCAGGGTTCGATCCTCGGATGGATTGGATTGAGAGGACATCTAGGGCTAGCTCACTGACTCCGGTGCGAAGCGTGATGGGGTTTGTGGTTAGGACTCCGCATGTGTTGTTGTGGCAGCCAGGCCTTGCCCGGGAGGAACATTTGTAGCAGTAGTTGCTATTGGCTCGTGAGCATTGAGTCGAGTGGCACAGCGGGGCGTTGTAGGTCGATGACAGGTAGTGTTGCTCGCAGTTAGCCCACAACAACCGGCCATTGAGGTCGATTAGAAATGGGATGGATTGGAGAGGAGTCCTCTTGTGAATGTTCGCGACATGAAGGCTTGTGAAACTGTCTTTCTGCACCGGTAAGACAAGCGTGCTAGGCTTGAAGGGGGGCGTGGATTCGAATGAAAGAGAGAAGACAGAGAAGAGGACAAGAAGAAGATGAAGAGTGGGAGCCATTAGAGGATAGGTTGAGCAAAGGTTTGGCAAGAGAGAATGGAATAGTGGTGTGTGACTGTGTGGTGTGGGTTGTGAGCATGGTTTGTGCTATATGTAGTGTGGCAAGTTTTGGCATTTGTGAGGGTTACTTGGCTAGAGGTGAGGTGCAGTATACCACCAGCGTTTTTAGTGTATCTGACGGTCCATAAGTCTGACACGAGTAGCAAGAGGATTATGAACCCTCGACTGTAATATAATAAAAATATGTTGTATTATAGAGGATTTGGACTCTACTTGATCGTATCGTAAATGAGTGACGACAATTTTGGTGTTTGTCATTGTTCATGAGTAATATATGGGCGTCTTTTTGTTTTGATGAGCTATGAAGTTTTGATGGTATGTCCACATGCCAATTTTGGCAAGTAAAGCTAGGGATAGTCATGATCATTTTCTCTTCATATAAGAGGACAAGAAAAGTTGGTAAGCATGTGGTGGCACTTGGTATTTTTGTCTCAAACTTTTCACACTTGCCACGCAGTTCGGCTATGAGCTCATACATCATATATTGCCAAGATATGTATGGGCTATACACGCAACTTTTGAGGGCTTGACTTTAATTAGGCCTAAATTAAGTAACATGTATAATATTTACATGTACATGTAGCCTATACTTATAGATGGATCAAAATGGTTCATATGTACATCTTAGAGGTCATAGTAAGGGTTAGCCAAAGGTTACTCCTTCCATTTAGTTGTGTGTGCGCCTTTACTTGCAATATATATACACAATATATCTCAAATTCATGGTTCTAAATGCTTTAAAAAAAAGATATATACTCCTATATATATGAATATCTTTCTTCATCGTGACCTCTCTTAAGGGTTATATTTGTAATTACCTCATATAACGTTTAAGCAATTAATTTTGGCTGTGGATGGCATTATTTTCTCCATCTTTGTTTCAACGTTCTTTGTTATCACTATTCTGTAGTCCGATCATGAATTAATCCTTAGGTCTAACGGCTAATTTTTTTTTTTGTTTTAAATAGCAGGTAGTGCAACCATCGATTGCATGCCTTGGGCTGGGTTTTGTTCTGGGCCTTTGTCTAGGCTTCTTTTGTAATTCTTTTGGGCCTTTTTTTTTTTTTTTTTGTGTTTTTCATTTTAGTGTTTGGAGGCCTGTTGACCTTTAGCCCGCTCTTTGTACGTTTGTATATTTTTAGTTTTTATAATTTATTTATTGACAAATAATAATAATAGTTCGATAACTCATTAAATAAAAATTTTATTTCTGCTACAACTAAAATTTATTATCGAATATACATGTTACATCTACAAATGGTAACAAATTGACGCAATAATCCTTGTAACACAATAATAAAATAAAACTATGTAAATTACTTTTAAAGTCGACAAGTTTCCTGTATCAATCAATTGTCCTTGTCAGCAATTCACTTTAACACTTTGTCCTGTACTACTTCAGCATCATTAGCTGGTCATCTCAAAGTACGGACAAAATCAAGGGCTTTACTTCTTTATTCTTCTTGGTTGTATCAACTAATTCTAGTTTATACTATCAACTAATTCTAGTTTATTAAATGATTAATCTTTGGCCAATTTTTATAATAGAGCCGGATTGAGTTCTTGATTTTGTGTCATGGTAAGCATTTAGTCTGAAGGATTTTGGGTGTGTCCTTCAAATAGACAGGATAATTTAATCGCAACAAAAGTATTATGAGCTTGAAAAAAAGGACATAAAATTTTGTCCAATATCAAATTTGAATAGAAAGTAAAATAAGTATATATAAATTAGATGTTATCTAATATAAATGTTTAGATTAGATTATAGCTGCCAACCTATATTGTTTCCCTCAGTTGGGTTTGTCTCGAGACAATACGCATCCACATTTATAACTTTATTCCAACTTAGTTCTATTCTTTTATTTAAATTACTCATTGGGTTTATATAATTATTTTATTTAAATTACTCATTGGGTTTATATAATTACTCTTCACACTTTTGATCCAAAAGATATGATAGAATCCTTTCCTTCTATTTCTTCAAAAGTCTTCATTTTTTAATAAAACAAATTTGTATTTTAAATAAACCCAATTAATAATCTAAATAAAAGAGCGGAAAAATTGGTAATTTTTTTTTATTACTAGTAAAGGTAGCTTAAAAGTTATAGATAATAACACGAGAGAATGAGCGTGGGTGTATCAGGTTTTAGGTCTCAAAGGGGAAATAATTTTCTTTTTCATTGGCCTAATTTTAAAGACTAAAGAGTAATTTGTAATGTCAAATAATTATATTCACAAAATGTTAGATAGCGTATTTTTTAAAAGAAGTATCTGCAATAATTTAACAGTATACCATTGAATGTTAATATATTATTACAAGAGTGAAGCCACTTATCTTATCGGCAACGAACAAATTTAGAAAAAAATTAAAGTAATAAATGTTAAATGATCTACTTGGACGTAATTTGTTCAAACTTTAAAAGGGTAAGTGTGTTAAGTAGTGGAACGAGTCTCACATCAAATAAATTTGAAACTTATATAAGATAAGAAGTAAGGACGATTCTACCTAATAATTTAATGTTTTGAATTGAATATTTTCTGAGTCACATAAAATGAGAACGTAAAAATAACATAATTAAGTCACAAGTAATGTGAGAATTTGAACCGTAAGCAACCCAAAGATTATGCTGCAACTCAACATCTGGCATGAAAGTCAAGTATTCATGATCCCTTCGCCAACCAATGGCCACCGAGTTGGATCCACCACCACCCGCAAAGTGTAAATTGTCCTTTATTTTAAGGTGGCAGGACTACGCTGTGTGAAGAGCAGATGATTATTCCCCACTCACATTACGGACGCTCTCTAGATCTTCTCTATCTGGCAATAACGCAGAGAACCCTTTTAGGTACTGAACACTCGCATTTTACTTTCCCACCAACACACAAACGCTTGCCTCAGCGAACCGATTCCCCTTCTTTTCCGGCGACTCTCTTTCTCTCTCATCATGGCATCTCCGATCAGGTACTCAGATCAACCCAATTATATATAGATATATGTATATATATGCATTTACACACACATACAAGTAAAGTCTTAACGTATTGATTAAACAAATCTTGTTACTTGTTCCTTTTCCTTTAATATCATTGTTGGGGATTTGGCTCTACATTTGAGTTGAATAGCTATAATTTTCACACAAAGTATGCTCGCATTGATTAAATTTTCCTAAAGAGGATCGACATAGAGATTTTCATAAGCAGCTTTAAATGGGAAAAGATCATCATAAAAGAGTTACGAGAAATGGATCAGATTTGATTATCTAGAAATAGTTTCAAATCCTAGAGGTTTTTAGGCGTCCATTGTTGGCAAATTTTGGTTTGGACGGCATGTTGTATCTGCTACTTGATTTGTGAGTTGTATATTTCAGATTTGAGTTTTTAACCTTTGAAAACAAAATTATGGACTCTGAAATCCAATAATTGAAATTATGATCGGGATGATTATGGTCCGAAATCGGGACAAGAGTACAACCTTCAGTTTGTTAATCATTTGATCTTTTAGGATTTCCAGTTTTGAATTTTGGTGAGTATGATATCATAACTCTCTTTGATATAATTTTAATTGCCAAAAGTTTTGTTAGTAGGATTTTATGGCTGTATTTATTCTAGAAATAAGTTATAACAACTCTGAAAGGGACTATTGACAAAAACTTGCATTTGTAATTTTGCTTGATTTAGCAACCTAATGAGGTTTTCCTTTTGTTTTGCTTGACGTAGGGCTGATTTCCTAGACAAGTTCAAAGACAGGGTCCCATGGTTTATGCTATCCATTGATGAAACAAAAGGATTAAATTCTAATTAGAATTTTGGATTAAAAAAAAAAAAAAACTGAATTAAGTTCAAACTGGATGTATAAAATTATAAATGTAAAATTTTGCAAAATTAGAAATTCTAATGAGGTTAAGTGTTTATAGGGCCGATATATATTTTAAGGAAAGAATGAGTAGATATGAATATGATCCTGCTCATAGAATTAAAAAGGATGAGTTAAGTGGGTTAGTGCTTTTGGCGTATTGTGTGGTTGATGTGTAGTCATGTACCTCTAAAGTTGAAAGGAATTTTTGACAAAACGGTTATTAAATCTAACCTACTATGAAAGGCGATAGCATAAATATGGATTTTAAGATGGATGCATGGTAAGACAAAAAATAACTACTGGATACAATGAGAGGGAACCATGTAAAATTGTCTAGTCATGTGTAGTGAAGAGTCCATTTATGAGAAAAAGTGACATAACCCAAGACCAATATTATGTGGCTTGTTATGGTAAAGAAAAGGTAGCTTGTCGGTTGACTGAAATAGCTGTGGATTGATGTAGTTGACTCCCAGTAGTTGGGACATAGTATATAGTTGGAATGTATGTATATATATGTGCGTGTGCGTGTGTATGTGTAAATATTACATGGCTTGTTATGGTAAAGAAAAGGTAGCTTGTCGGTTGACTGAAATAGCCGTGGATTCATATAGTGCAATGTGACTGTTCCTGCGACCTAGGTACCTTATCCATCCAAGGAGAGGTGGATTGGTTACAAAGTCACTGATTGGGGAAAGTCAATGCGAATATTTTCCGCAATTTGTGAATGCGAATTTCAAGAGCATGATTTGTTGGCAAACATTTGTAATGGCATGTCACTAAAACCGAAACATCCAGTAACATATTGCCAGCATATTCCAGCAACACTTAACACCCAGGAATACCAACTCTTATACTAAAAATTGAAAACCCACTCATATATTAGAGTTTAGACTGGTACACATATTTTTATATGTTTGTAAAATTGCAGTCAAGAGGCAGCTCAACCTTTGTCAAATTTAGAAAGGGGAAATTTCCTCTTTAATCAAGTTCTGACTTTGTTTCACTTGGTGACCACATCTCAAAAAATGGTGCTAACTGCTTTTGCTCTTAGTATATATGGACAGCATCTTTGTCCCTTCATGTGCTGACTTTTGAAATTCTCATCACACACTCATTAAAGGTGAATGCGATAAATGCCATTGTTTTAAAGGTACTTTCTTCTTCTCCTTCTCCCTGCTAAATCTTCCAAATCTTAATGCCACATCAAGGCTCCATTGCAACCTCAAGTTAATCCAACCAACTTAGCATCGCAAGCCATGTCAATAGTCCCTCAAACTCCTCTTTCAAAGACCATTTCAATGAGCCAAACATAATTCAACTAAATCCAACTGAATGCTTCAACAAAAGTTCTAAATCGACCATACAACAATTTCTTCAATTCAGCCAACCAAACTTTAAACAAGTTCATATGCATTTGGTGAGGAGAGCAAGATGAAGGAAAGAGGGGGTGATGGTGAAGTAAGAGGGAAAGGTAAGGTACCCATAGGCAATATGCTTGATTGACTCAATAAAGCTTGACTAAATGATAAAAACTCAGTCAGCCTTTACATTACACTTCTTTTACACTTTGACACTAAATTAGCCAACAGAATGACAATTAGTGCCAACGGTCTCTCTCTTTGGCAGTTTCGTGACAATGCACTTTCTTTGTGCTAATTTTTACATGTTTCCTTTAGTATATCATAATTATACTAAAGAGAGGACATTTATTTTCTAAGAAGAAAGCGTGGGTAAACTCAACTAAATTTAGTTGTCACGGTGGATTAAATTCATGTTTTCTGATTGGGAAAACAAGAAAAAATAACACCAATAAAAAAAAAAAAAAAAAAAAAATTCCCTAAATTAGGATTTGGCTTTTGGAGTTGAAAGAGTATTGTTGAATTCCTCTTAGCACCTAGTCCTTGCCTTCAATGGCCTTGCATTATCAATTGATTTACTTTGTGAAATTCTCTCTCTCTCTCTCTCTCTCTCTCTCTCACACACACACACACACACATGCACAATCATTTATTAAGTAGCTGTAACTAAATTATGATGATTGTTTGCTTAATAATTATGATTTTATTGTCATTTATGTTATTTTTTTCTTTTTATAGGAACTAGGTAGCTATCTGAGTTGTTAGTTCTATCCCTATTGTCTGACCTACGTTATCTTCTATTTTATTCTACTTTCATTTAGAATCTCGGGATTACTTAGTTGTTCAAAATTTTATGGAATGCTTTCGTTGTACCTACATGACTTTGTGTTGTCAATTGCATGAACTCTTAAGGCATTTATCAAAAAAAAAAAATTTGCATTAACTCTTAAGGCAACTTTTATCCCTTTTCTCGAGTCTCTTTTGTTTTCCATTTTTCCGTGTCACCTTGTTATACATTAATTGTGATAGTTTTCATTTGTGTTAACTCTTATAAGGTCATAGATTTTTTCTAGTGAGGATCTAATTTTCAAAAAGGTGATTTTGGAAACAGTACTGGAGCCAAATAATGGCCAGTGGGGGGTAGCTGCCCCCAGGCTCCCCACTCAACTTTTTTCTTTATTTTTATAATTGTAAACATCCCTTACTCAAAATTGTCAAAGAACCCTTAGTCTTAACGGTTTTCATTCCTTTCTATTCTCAATTTTTTCGTTACTATCACAAACTCTCGCTGCCTCTCTCTCCCATGACCCATAGCATGTTCATCTCTTACACTTTATTCATCGACCTCATCTTTTGCTCTCTTATGTCTCAATATTTCTCCAAAGTAGAAGCATGATGAGCAAGAATTATAGAAGTCATTTTTCAGTCAATTTCTTGACCTAAACCAATACATAAGAAACACTAATCCCCTTTTCTCACCTAATCTTGCTCTTTATGGCTAACACAAAAAAAGAAAAAAAGGAGAAGGATTTTGGTAACATCAATGGATTACTGTTTTGTGAATAATTTATCCAAAATTATGAAATAGTTTTACAATCGAGTGTATTATTTTATGTATTAAATGACGCATCCATTAAGTTTCAGTATGTTCTGATTGATGTTGTTAGTTACTCAAGGGGATGAGTCTGTTCTGGTGTTAATCACGCATATTCATTCTACAAGGGTCTAGTATAGCTTGAATAATTTATGCGTTACTTTAAAATAAGTTTCTTTGTATGGAACTATTTGCTTTGTTGTTTATATTTATAAAAACAAAATTGATGGCATTGATAATGAGGTTATCATGCAACGCTTTCAAAACATAAAAAATTGTCGAGGACAATTATACATGTAATAAATGCAAAAATTATCAATCAATATTTGAGTTTTTGTACTTTCTCTTTTTTATTCAAAGAACTTCTTGTTCAAGGTTGCCCACTCTATAAATTTTTAGCTCCACCAGTGTTTGGCAAAAAATGCACTTCAAGATGTGGAATTGAGGTTTCTATCATTTTGCTTTGCTTCGGCAAAACTTCTTTCTAAAGTGATACTGTTTCATAAAAGGGATTCTTCTGGCAAAACCAGTCCAATTGTGAACTTTCTATGGTACAAATGACATTCTGTGTGGTATGGTTGGCTCAGCCCGTGATCATTATACAAGTTCAATCATAGGCAGTCTCAACTATATGTTCTTTACTGATAATGAAAATCCAAGAATAATGGTTAGAGGTTGTAATAAAGTTTGTCAGACAATTTTTCATTGATCCCATTGACTACAAATACATAAAATGAGTATGAAGATGAGTATTAATTCTCATCAAGCATTTGATTCCTTTACTCTTGCTTGTGTATCTGTGGCTCAGTATGTATGCCAAGGTAGGAAGAGTTTGCTTAAATTTTCTGAAATCCAAGAATGAATTTTCCTTGAGAGTGCTTCCATGTGCCCGTGCCCCTGCTTTCATATGTTGGCAAAAAGATTGAAAAAATGTGTTGTTGAAGCATCAATTTATTCATGCAAAGTGAATATTGTATTCTTTCAAGAATCATGCCAGTGGTACTTGTTCACACAGATTTGATTCATTATATTTGCAACTAATGCATATCAGATCTCATATGCATGGGGAGAAAAGAGGTGAATACAATAACGTGCATCCGTTGGATCCGCATCAGCCTATTCTTGCTGTGGAACCTCTCAATTCTGTGCCATATGTTGATCCACAGATGTTTTCTGGTGATATTCCTTCATCAACAACAGAAATTGGTACTGAGCCTATGGTAACAGATGCGCCTGCTTTGTTGTTTCTGCCTTCTTGCCCAAATAAAAAAGATTGGAATAATATTATGACCGCCACCAAAAATGGAATTGGGTTAACTGGGAGTGCTGCAATGGGGAAGGTGGGGCCAATTATAGGATCAGTGGACGTTGCTGAATCTGAGGATGCATATCTTTTTCGTGTCTCTCTCCCTGGTGTGGAAAAGGAAAGTAAGTTGGACTGAACTGACATGTCACTAATTATAAAATTTCATAATTGCCTTTCAAAGCTTAAACATACCCTTTAGACAAATTACGTTTCTTCACTATATTAAAGAGACGTCACTTGTTAACTTGCTGTCACAACATTTGAGAAAATATCGTACTTAAATTGGAATAGAAGGATTGTAATTATCTTCCTATTGTGAGAAACTCTATTGCTTGACAAGGAATCCTTGGAAATCATGTGAAATTGGAGATAAATCCTTGTATGTTTTTATTATATAGCATTTCAAATAAGTCTTTTGTTTATTAGATTACTATGTACTTAAACTTCGGTTTAAAAGTGAACTTATTTCAAGCTTTCAGAATTGATCGAGAACTATCTAAATTAGCCAGTTGCTTTAAAAATCTTGATCGAGTCTTCTGATTTTAGATTGAAACTATATTTAATCTAATGTGGTTTGGTTGTGCAAAAGTAAATATTTTTCTTATAATTTTATCACCAAATTTTCAAATATATGATATTTCACTGCTGCGCGTTGATCTGACCACCGACTTCTAATTGCAGATAAATTTAAATGTGAGGTTGATCCTAATGGGAAGGTCGTGGTAGAGGGAATATCGTCAACAGGAGAGAGGATAGTTCGCAGGGGCTCCCAGATTTTCGAAATGCTTACTCAAAATCTATGCCCACCAGGGTATTTTTCGGTTTCATTTCAGCTACCAGGACCAGTTGATATTCAACAATTTAAAGGTATTTTTGGACTGGATGGTATTCTTGAAGGAGTTGTAAAGAGAAGGCCATCAAGAAGTCATTGATTTGGTTAGTGTATGTCATTTCAAATGTCCTTTGTCATGAATTTTGTACTTTTAGTAACTTTAGGGTTTCACAGCATTTATTGTTTTTACTTAGAGATCTGTGAGAAGTTAGTCTTGCTAGCACATTGTTAGTGGCCTTGTATCAAAACTGTGGTTTTGCTGGAAACTATGATCATCATGTGAGGAATCACATTCAAAAGAACGCTTTTCTTTTCCTCTTTCTTTTCCGAAAGTTCAAGTAAACGTGTTCGCACTCGTATTGAACACTTAACTAAAGGAGACGAGATCATTCCATCTAGGTTAGTAATCGAAATTTCTTAATCTCAGTTTTACATTATTCTTGGTTATTCATTGCACTTCATTTCACATTCTCTTGTATCAAAGTCTTCTTGGGCTATTGTCTTGCTAGGATTCATCATTCATTTGGTCTAAGCAATTTTTGCATCAATTACATTGTTATGGGTGGGAGTATCTCAAACTCTTAACACCCATATGATCAATAAAATTATGAACTTTGACACATTTCTCTGTTTATTCATTTTTAACCGTTTTTTTTTTTTTTCAAGAAAAAAATATATTTATTATGTGCTTGAGCAAGTTCTGAAATGCAGGTTTCATATGCCATAATTGTACATATTACTAATCGTACCTCATCAGTTATCCCTCTCATTTAAAATAGTTTTAATGAGCCAGTGGAAATTTTAGATGTGGACACGTGGCACAGTTGCTTTAGGGTAAGTTACATTTTTTATTGTTATTATTAGGTCATGTCAAGATGATGTGGTGTGAGCCAATCACATAAATCAACGATTTTTCGGAGGAAAAGCTTCACTGCACAGTGCACAGGTGATACCACGTTTTCACGACTTTTCGGATTAAAGGATGAGATCTACTTTTCTTCTCTTTTCACTTTAGAACAAATTACCAAAAACCTCTAAAACTTTCTTAGAGAACTATAAATTTAACAAACAATTTCTTCTAGTTTTATAAAGATCTACAATTACCTTTTTGTTTTTTTTTTGTTTTTAGAAAATATTTGAAAAAAAAAAGTCACATTCCACTTCACATGACATATTAATTTGATATAAAACTAAAATATTTTTTTATATAGATTAAAAAAAAATTTCCTAGTTAAAATTCACACATCCACCTTGCTTTTATTGAAACTTGAAGCATCTATTAACTCAATTTTTATTTCTATTTTCTTAAAAATAATCATGAAGCTTTATTATTATGCTGGCGTATAAAATTTTAAATTGCCGGAAAAATGGTTATCTGAAAATGCAGGATAATTCAAGGCAAATTTGGTGTGTTTTGGTCTTCACACTTTATCTAATAGACTAATACCATCCATTCATAGAACAAGGTGATACCTACCTTATCACATAATATTATCCACTAATTATATTTATTATATAAATAAAAATAAATTTATTATAGTGAGAATGAACACTATGTCACAGCATTTAATAAATTAGTAATACAAAATGTTGCATTAAAATTTAGTGTAATTTACAATTAAACTTTAACATCATTTTCAATTACAATAATCTTATAACCACCTATTATTCTAGTCAAACTCCTCCTTAAATTGACATTCTAATTGTAGCACACGTTGTATGAAGTGAACTAGTTTAAGTCGACATCCCTAATTGTAGCACGCATGTTGTGTCAATCCTACTTTTATCTAATGCTATTCATTTATAGCCACATTATTCCGTGTGTGCTTGTGTTTTGGATAAAAAAAACTTATAAAACTTATTGCGCCTGTAACACCGTGCAACCATTTAACTGTTCATACATGGGGCGCATTCAACCGTTACGCGGTGCAACGGACGTAACAAAGATAAAAATACAAATAAAAACAAATTTATTGGAAGAATCAAGTCATCAACACTATATGCATGAGCAGTTGGTGATACAAAATGTTGCATTAAAGTTTAGGGTAAATTACAGTTTACACCCAAACTTTAATATCATTTCCAATTACAGTAATGACCTCTTACAAACTTACATCACGAAACAAAAACAAAATCAAAACGATCAAACACACACTTGAACTCACACAGCGAGTTGAATATCTCCCAAATCGAGCTGAGCAGTGATCTCTTCCAGCTGTTTCTTCACACTCATGTCGATCAATTTCGATGCGGAACTTCCATACCTGATCGTGAACCCCGCCACAAGCGACGGATCGATCACCGTCTTGATCCTCACGTTCTTCGCTCCGGTCAGTCTCTGCACTCCCTTCGCGATCTGCGCCAAGTGCTGCGAGTCCAATTTCACCACCGACGTCACGATCGCCACCTCCGTATCGGTCAATTTGTTGTACACAACCCAGAAATCTTTCAGGATTTCCTTTATCAGATCGATCCGCTTCATGTCGACGAGGATGTTCAAGAAATTCACAACGTGAGGTTGGAGTTTGGAGGAGCCTGCGAACTCGTCGAGGAGTTCGCGCTTCTTCTCGATGGAGATGGTTGGATTGATGAAGTATTCTTTGACGGCGGGCTCCGAGAAGAGCTTCTCGACCTTCTCCAGGTCGGCGGCGGTAGATTCTAGGGTTTGGTTGGACTTGGCGACGTCGGCGAGGGCTTGGGCGTAGCTTCCGGCGGCGCTGTCGGCCATCCTGGCTCCGCCGCGGCGTTTTCCGGTGATTTTGACGGTGAGTTTCGGGAGTTTGAGGAAGGAGGAGCTGCCGGAGAAGGAGAGTTTCAGAGGATTCTGAGGGTGGAGTTTGGCGGTGACTCGTGAGCTGTATTGGAATGTGATCGGAGTTTGTTGCAGAGCCGCCATTGCTTCCGGCGAGTGTAGAGAGAGAGAGAGAAAGAGAGTTATTGCTGGACACTGAGGATTGGAGTTAAAGAAGTGGGGATGAGAATGAACGGTGAGGATTTTGAAGAGTTAAAGGATCGACGGTGGTGGAAGGATTTTATCCTGGGAATTTGAAGAACGATGGCCTCTTATTTTGCAGAAGATAACGAGTGGACACGTGTGTGCCTAACATTGTAAGTGCAGATTAGGTCACAGGATGACCAAATAATCCTTGTTGAAACCAGAATTTTTAGTTAAAAGTGAAGGGGTAATGCTGGAATGTCATTTACATGTCAAGAACTGTTTGTTGACTCTCATTTGAAGTTGTGTATCATATAATTCCAGAAGATGAGAGGTTAAGAAAAAGAGAAGACACGAAAAACTAATTTCTTAAAATTGTAGCCTTTGGTAGGCTGAAATTTCGAACTTGAAACATTCTACTGATATTACCCTTAATTTTGTTTTTTAAGAAGATAAAAGCGTTTCAAAGTGAGAGTTTATGCTTCCGTAGAGATCAGAAAAGATTCTCTTGAATGAGAACACTAGTTTAAAAGAATAATGTGATTTTATCCATTTTGAAATTATGTAACTTGAAATTCGAAACTAAAAACTTTAAACTAATATGGTGGTTATATTACCCTCTATTTTTTTTTAAAGTGAGAAGCGTTTTAAAATGAAAAGCGAAAGTTCACGTCCTCTTAGGACCTCTCTTCGGCAAGAGCTTATATTTGTATGACCTATAAAGAACAAGGAAGTATCTTATCCCGTCAAATATCTTTAATATTGATTCCATGTGAAATGACAATGAGTGGCATGGAGAATTGAATATATACTTAATCTTAAATATTTTTATTTATAGGTAATGTCACCATTTTCGAATTATTGATAAAGAGTGTTTTTTGTGTTGTGGTCCTTTTTCTTGTTTTAATATTTAGAAAGATGAGTGGAAAAGTGAGTGCCCCTCATTCGTTTTCTTAGAAAAATGGAGAAGGGAAAATAAATCTCACTTGGGTTCCAAAAATGGAGCCATCTCTTCATCAGATAAAAAAGGCAATTCAATTGAAATACAAGAAAACCTGAGTTAGTTCTCAATCCTTCAAATAAAGGAGATTATACTAAACTTGGATCAACATATTTTACACTGCTCTCACACCATGGTGACAAAAATTCTGAAGCCTAGGTTAAAGGTTCTTCTTGTCTTTAACTTGTCTTATAAAGAGTCATCTTGGGCAATCCATCTCTCTGTAGTAGAGGGTTTGATATCCTTGTCACACCATCCGTTGATGGGATGAAATACTCTGCAGTGTTAAGGATGTAGTTAAAGGTATGAAGACAAAAAGGATGTAGCTATGCATAATACCCATACAACCTTTAAATAAAAATAGCACTCGAGTCCGCACGAGCGCCAGAGCGGCAAAATCTAAGTCACACAAAATGGGAACAGGAGTGAGAGCATGTGCGGAGTGTGAAAGCACCCCAAAGTGAGATTCACTTGAAAGCTAGCCCATTCATGGATGAGGTGGGACAATTATGCCGTAGCGACTGTTCAAAGCATTCTTACTTCTTTCAGAGCACATATGGAACTTGGTACTGTACTATCAGTTATAGAACAGTATCTGAGCTTGCAAACAGCTAAATTTAACTGAGCATGGTTTTTCATTAATTCAACTGGGCACACAATCTAGCAGTAACAAAATGACATCCAACTATAGAGTGGTTGGCACAATTTCAATACATCCATTGAACTAGGCACAATTGTATACCTTCAAAATATATATATATTTTTTTGATAAGTAATTGTATACCTTCAAAATATGCCATCTAAAAATTAGAATGACTGGTTATTCAATGATAAAAGTAATAGTTTTAGCAAATGAAGGTATGCACATAACAGATGGTTTGGAGAAAATGAAAGGGAAGGGAATGGAGGAACCTTCTACCGTGTGCAGCAGGAAAGAAAGGGAAGGATGATGTTTTTAACCCTCTTTTGTTACTTCTAAAAGCAAAAGTTGGGTTCAGAGCACATAAGAGGAGGACCAGTTGCCCAACCAAAATATAAAAGTTCACACATTCAGAACGCAATTTTTTGGTATTCTGTATAGATATTATCTTTGCAAACATTAATATAATAGAAAACACTAGAGAAATATTTTCATTTCAGATTAACGTTGTATGAGTCTAGTGCAGGAACTCTTGAATACAATCCAAGGGAACCAAAAAATAAATAAAAAATTCTACAATGCATCTGACCAAGACTCCTTTTTTTTGGCAAGTAAAAAATACACACCCACGATGCCCTGTAGGGGACGTGTACCCTCGAGATACCATTGAGATAAAAGCTCCATAATTTCTGATAAATATTCTGCAAAAAAAAAATAAAAAAATTCAAAGATAAAGAAACATGAAAAACCCAAGCTTTTCATTGGATGTCAAAAACTCAAACTCCTTGAGTTCAAAAGTAAATTGAAGCTTGAAACTCCACTGAAATACAGCATAGCTACCGAATCAGTTCCTATATTGCCTGTCAGCACTGCTTGGATCATATTTCTCAAGGATAATGTGAATCTAACAATTTACCAAAGAAAAAACAGCATAGGTGCACAGGTAGTCTAACAACATACTCCCAAGATTGAAATATTCCATGAAGTTAAGAGCACACCACATATCTGCTATCAACACTACTAAAAGTCTTTTAACATGAATGCATTTTACTTCTGAGGCTCACAGGAGACAAATATACGCACAGGTAGTCTAACAACATACTCCCAGATGTCCAAAATATCTGAACACAAGTTCTGTACTGGGCTCCAAAAACTCCAAGGTAAAGAGATCCCAGTAGCTTGGATGTGGAGACGATCAAATACTGCCCAAAACCAGTTCCTTTGGTATGTGTAGTTGATCTGTGGGCACATATTTGATGTCAAAACTAGAGTGGGGATATGTTCATGAACGTGGGGGTGTGGTTATGTATTAAAGAGTTGAATTTATCTTGTCCTAAATCCAAGGACATGGAAGCACGGTTAATTTTTTAAATTTATTTTCTTCTTTTAATTTAGAGTAAAATGGTGTAGATAGTCTTCAGCATGGAATTTGAATCATTTTGAGGTAACCGTGTACAAAAAATATAAGAGTTTTTGTTATGACAAACGCAATGAACCCAATAACAAATCAAGAAACACGACAGAATAGTAATCACACCACACAAAGAACACAAAGATTTATCGTGGTCCGGCAAAGCCTACATCCAAGTTTCAACCCCCAAACCCTAGATCTTGATCTCTCTCTTTCTTATCGATTTTCAATGTCTCAATAATCCCACTCCAAACCCTAAGCACCCTTATATATAGGGCTACAAGAAAGTACTAAACAAGGTCCACTACCTGCAAGCAAAAAACCGGGTCAAAAGCTCATAATGCTCATTCGACGGGTCGTCGGTCGTAAACGGGTCACAACACAACCAGACACCAAATTCGGGCCACAATTTCACAGTTTTACTTGTAATTAACAATTATTTAAATTAATTACCAAAAAAATACTATATTTAAATTATTGTATATGCCAAATGCATGCCTGACCAGACATGTTGGACACACTGTGGCGGAGCCAAAATTTACTTCCGGGGGAGTGACATCCGATTCACTGATAGGATCGAAATGCACGGTCACACACATAGTACCTCACTAGCATACGTGAGAAAGGACACTAAATTTCATTGTTTTACATTAATATTAGATTTGAGTCATGGATTTAGATTTTAAATGATCATAAAACTGAAATAGACCTGGACTTTTTATATAAAGACAATAATCATTCTATAGATTAAGGAAAAATTATCATGGTCATGGTCACTATAAAATAATAGAAATAACCAATATTTTAATCTCAAATACCATTAAATAGCAAATTTTGTTTAAATTTGATCACTAATGTAATTTAATATTTTGAGTCGTACTCTATACTTTTGATAATACAATAGTGTAATGTAAATGTCATTTACCAGTCACTAAATTCTAAGAGATTTTGAAAATTTTGAGGGGCCAACTTTATAATTTTTGAGAAACTTATACATCAAAGTAAAATATAAAAAGAAAATTGAAAGGGGGCAGATGCCCTCACTGAGCCTATTGTGGCACCATCCCTGGTTGTGAGAGATTTGATGGCTTTAGAGGGGGGGCTAGGAGCAAGTATACACAAGGGGCTTTACCAAAATTTATTGGGGGCTTTAATGGGGGCGGACGCCCCCCACTCGTATGCCACACGTATCCGAAGTCATATCCATGTTGTGCTGTGCTCAATATACACACTTTACGCATCTAGAAGAATTCAAGTAATTTAGGTCATAGACAGCCAAAATTACTCATCTATTTGGCCTTCATGGTAATCCATGACTGTTTTGAATCACCAGATTGATTATATAGTTACTTGGTGTATATCAAATATGAAAGGGAACTGAAGAAGAGGTGAAGAAAAGCAAATGATTAAGGTATATCTTACATAATTACTCATATTGAAGTGACTTGAAACAGGGGATAGATAAGAGGGTGGCTTCTATCCCAAAGCTGATTACATGGCATTGAAGTTTAATCTAGTGGTCAAATTATCAAATAGTAGAGGATATTTTAACATGGAGCCCAAATAATGATCCAGGTTTGGCCTAATCACAAGGACATATGAAGTTTGTATGATATCATCATGGCTGCTGTTATTGGCGCTCCAACCATATCCTCAAGCACTCCACTTTCTTTCTCTTTTAAAATAAAACTACAAAAAAGTCCCCAAATTCAGAATTCTTACATTTTTAATGCCATTATTACCCTTCTCTAAGGTTAAGAGCCCTCTTGAAATTTAGTTCCTTATCTTCTCTCTCACGTTCCCTTAATCTCTCACTCACATTCTTTCTCTAAATCTACAAATCAATGAATCGAGTAAATCAATTGAATCATTGTCTTAATATTGAGGTCTTATGTAAATTATTTTAGTACTTGACACAAATTAATGAGAATCTTCTTATTGCTCCAGCAACCAATTTTACAAATTCTTAATTTACAGAGAGAAATTAGACTTACACGATACTCGACACAGAGAAAAAGTGATCCCAACTAAAGCACGATTTGAGAATAAATTATAGATGTTCTTTTTCTTTTCTTCCTCTTCTCCTCTTTTTCTTTCAGCTGCAGGAAATTGGGGATCCATAAGATTGGATGAAAATAAATGCTTTAGAGCACGTTATCACATTTTTTGGTAGGACTTTCTCACCCCAAATCTGATTCCATTTAAATTCTTAGAACTACCTAATCTAAAAAATTATTTTAGTGCACGTTGGGTGCTTTCCTGAATTAATCAAACTCTTCTTGGTAAATTTACTATTGAATTAATCAAAGTTTTGGTTTCCTTTAGTACTGTTGCATTTGTGCCACAGTGATTTTTTCTTTTTCTTTGATAAACTTGGTAAAACCCATCAGTATGCAGAGAATGTGAGTGAGAAATTAAGGCAACGTGAGAGGAGATAAGGAATTAAAATTCAATATGATTCCTAAACTTAATAAAAAAGGGTAATAATGGTATTAAAAATGTAAGATCTATGTATTTTGAGTTTGGGGACTTTTTTGTAATTTTATTTCATAAGAAAAGAAGAGTGGAGAGCCTAAGGATGTTGTTGGAGTGCCAATATCAGTAGCCTATCATCATCTTTGTATCAATAGTTATGCATCAAAACAACATTAATTAAATTGCACTAAAAATGAGTAATTTTTTTTTGAATGGATTGAAAACCGAAAGGCCAAATAATCTTGTTATTTCAAACAATAGGAAGTAGCAATCTAGGAACTCAAATCAAGAAGTGGTTCCTAAGACTTCCAGAAAGAAGTAAGTGTTAAGTTTATGCAAACTACAAATTACACTAACATCAATGGAACTAATGTACATAGAGCAATAACACAACAGCGAAATAAAAGCATATCCATGTCATTATTGACATTACAGAAATAGATCTTACTATTATCCACTGCTGCTGATGGGCAAGATCATGAGGAACCATCATAGAAGATTTCAAGACCATTCCCACCTATTCCGGCAATCAAACACTGGAATCCACATGACTCAAGCTCAGCAATTACTTTATCAATAACTGTACCTGATAATACTGATTCATGCAATTAAGGAAACATTTGAGAATGACTTTCAAGCATATGGATTCAAGAATTAAATTTAATATGCGTAAACATATGAGCTCAGACTTCTAAGCAAATTGAGAAAACAATTTCTCTATGTCCAAAGGAAACCAACTCACCAGAATTCTGTCAAAAAACTTCAAATTAGAACATATTAGGAATCTGCTACGAGCTCAAATCACCAAAATTCTGCAAGTCCTATTTCTGTACAACTATTAAATACAATGACCTATGATTCTAACTAATCCATCCATTCGCTCCAGCATATCATTAAAAATCTAAATACAAAATAGAATCAGTAGAAAAAAATTGTCAAGCTTCTTCGAAAAATAAATAAATAAATAAAAATAAAAAAAGTGTCAAGCCTACTCTGTATTTCACCACTATAGATTACTTACAGGAAAAAAGGCAAAAAAGCATAGACTCATATTTCTCAAAATTAAACAAAAGAGCTCCAATTTCTCATCAAGGCATGATTTTCAATTTCAACCCCCATAACTGGTTCAGTGCCAAAGTGGCAGCAATGTCAAGATTATGTGGATGCCAAGGCCTAGTAGAAGACCAAGGGGTTGTCTTGAATTGAGGCTTAGAATGGAAGACTTTTCATTCAACTACCCATATTTATTTTTTAGTAGTTTGTGTCTGGTAAGTTGTGTTGCTTTAAATTTTTATTGATCTTTGTGCTTTGTGTTTGAATTGGAAGCTGTATCCATATATAATGGATAGAAAAAGTTAAAGTAACATATGTATGAGAGATGGAGGATGAAGTTGTAGCTTAACTTTTGTTTGTCCTTCTCCTTCTCTTTGTTGTCTCTTCTTGTTCCATATTCTTCTTCCTCGCTCTTATCCACCCGCATCAATACATACCAGTGAGTGAATTCTAAGGTATGAGCATCACTATCTTTAGATATCTTCTAACGCTCAAATTATCTCCAAGTTTCCCAAGCCTGTGCCATACCCAAGATTTGTGCTGGTCTTTTTTTAGTATTGAAAGACAATTTTCCTCCTAAGTTTTTCCATTATTCACTTCATCAATAGCCATTCATCCCTTCTACTTTAAATTTCCTCATCCCTAATTTCATTACAGATTTCTCTGTACCTAGTAAAAAATTCGGCTTAAGACCATACAGCTGAGTCTTTCCTAGCTGTTTCCCTCTAGTTCTTACTTTACTCTCTAGTTTAGGCTATCTCGAGAATAACTTTACTAACTTCACATTGCCACCTCTCTCAAAAATCATAGTGCTTACCATATCCACAAGTTGCATTATCAACCGATTTTATCAAATACATCCAGCACGAGCTTAGGTCTTCCCCAGTTATAAAAGAGAGACTTCATTTCCATTCCACATTAGAATATATATACATATACAAATACATTCCTACCATTTTATCTATTTCTCTTGCCCAATTACTAACATTTTAAACTCTATTCACTGCAAAAATACTTGACGCAACATTTTTATCTCCTTTTTAATTATAGAGTGCCAAAATCAATTAGCAAAAGCGGATACATTAATAACCTTCACATATCCATTAGCCAATCAATTGAGGCAAAAAAGGCCTACTATAGTGAAAGCCAAGATGACACGCATACAGATGCAAAAGGGGCAAAAAGTAGTGAAGACATAAAATATTTTGCATTTAAACATTTCAAAATATGAAATTAGAATTAGAATCACAGAATATTCAAAATATGAAAGATGAAGGGTAAAAATAATTTTGAAACATAAGACCACAATTCATAAGCAGAATAATGCAATGGATACGTGTTGGTAATAGTGTCAAAACACAGCCTCCTCCACCAGCTCCTGTCAACTTGGAAGATAATTTATATTTCAACGTAGTTCGAAGCACAGTTTCTATTGAAGCATGGCTGACCCCCATACATTGGAGCAACCCTTGATTCATTTCCATGAGTTCTTCTAGTTTCTCTTCCTTCTCAGTTACGGCAAGATCATCAGGTGCAGGTGCCTGGATAATGGTAGCCAGTTCACTGCTAATAGAATCAACAGCAGTAAAAACAGCAGCCATAGCATTTGGATGCCTGATTGTCCTCTCTGAAACACCAGCAACTAGTGCCTTAGTGTTCCTCCCAACTTTTGTGTTTGTTATGAGCATTTTAAGTGGCATATTGGACTTGATGCGTGTTAAATCACCTGACCTAAACTCGATCATGTTGCCTGTTGAATAAACTTCATTAATTACATATATATATATATATATATATATATATACATACATACATACATACAAAGGTCTAAATCCATCTTGCATTAGTAAGCTAAGAAAATAACAAGATTTATGATGAATTACAAGAAAATCAAGAAGTTGCATCTATAATAAAATAATTCGTGCATTATAGTATCTTAGCCAAAAGAAAAATACATCGTTAAGTTAAAGAGAAACCATTTTCTTAGCCAAAAGAAGTGTATTTGCCAATAACTTTTCCATGCACAAATTACACTAATGGTGATGTGACTGGTATGTCGCTTGTATGTCAAAAATGTCAATGCTGGTTATCATAAAAACGACATACCAGTCACATCACAATTAGTTTTTCAATCATTATGAAATTCTCAAATTACTCCAACTAATTCTAGTAATACAACATATGCTTCTACTATTTACTAAAATAAAAATGCATCAAAACCCAGTAAAATCATTCTTGAAACTTTTTTTTTTTTGTTTTTTTTGAAAATTTCCAAAATCAAAATAAAAATTTCCTTGCTAGGTTTCATCACTCCTTCACAATATTTTCTCATTTAAATTTCCAATTCCAAAAAATAACCAGCATTGATGGCTCCCAATTCCAGTCATTTTCTTTTTGGACAACAAAGAGGAAGGTGGAGAATGTAAAAGAAGCTGCATCTAGCAGTTCCTATGAAAGACCACATACCATATGTGCTTACTGTGTTGTCTATGCCTGATGGCTTCCCATGTATTATTTTTTCACCTTCAAAAGCCCATTTGTTCACCAGGTCCAGCTCATTCTCCCCTAACATAAACCAACCTTGACGGCTAAAATCTAAAACTACAAAATCTGACAAAGCAAGCAGGGCAGCAGAGAGTGACACACAGAATGCAGCAGATGAACCCAAGCCAGATCCCAATGGAAGCTCAGAAGTGACAACCACTTTAGCAGGTTTACACCTGACACATAAAGGGAACCAAATCAGAAATTTAAATAGTTACAAGGAAAAGGTTGCCACTTATCAGTGGAAACCAGTATAGGATGCAAACCCTTGAATAGAGGTGTATAGCCATAGAAAAGCTGAAACTCCAGCAGCAAGTCCAATTTTTGCCTCTGGAATATTCTGTTCTTCAACTAGAGCTGCAATTGACTTAATGGTCCACGGTGAGCATGATGCGGGAGATGAAGGGGCGTCACAGCCAGTACCCGAATCAGGAAGTGTTTCTTTAATTCTTCCAACTGGCCATGAAAATTCCAAGCCCATATCCTTGAGCTGGAGTTTCAGGGTGTCATCGTTATCTATGAAAAAAAAGATGTTAAAAAAAATTTAAAAAGAAAAATAAGAATGCCATCGGCACAGAACCCAACATAAAATTAATAAGCATCATGACAAAAAATGTACAGATTATGGTGAAAATTAACTACTTTTTAATGTAGTCACCTTCCATTAATTTTACTGTTAGAACCAGGAGAATATAAGTGGTGAAAACTGCATGGAATAAGATAACAACACGATATAGATTTCCGTATCACTATATCTACAATTCAAATCCAAGTGATCATCTCTTGATCATGAACTATCATGTGATGGAGTAAGAGTACTTTCAAATAATTTGTTTGTCTATATATATATAATTTTGTGATTATAGTAACTGACATGAATCCTAAGACTTGTTTATTTGAAACTCTGATTTCAACAGCTTCCTTCCCATTAATAGTGACTCCCTCTGATACAAAATATATATATATATATATATATATATATATTAAAAACACACACACACACAAACAAAAAAAAAATCCTTTTAATTTATAATTGACATTTACAGCAAATTTCAATTTGCAACAATAGGATATAATCCAACACTCATATGTTTCACAATATTCATAAACTTGATATCATAGATTAGGTTAGAAAGCTTCTTGTTCTCAACCTGAAGATATGGCTCAATTTGTAAAACCAGAAACCCATGCTTTTTGAGTATATATGACAGAACATAAGAAATTTCACCAAAGAGAACCACAAGTGTTTTTTATTCCGGTTCAGTACGCTTCTCAAGAAAGGATTCAAAACCTCACCTTGCTTTAAATTTTCTATGGCTTCCATTTCTTTAGATGGAAAACGGTTCCCTGAAAAAAGGTTTTATGAAAATTTTCCATAAGAAAAGTCTGAATTGCAATTTGTCTTCAACTAGCGCTGGTATAAAATATCTCTTAACAGTTAACACACAACTATTAGTTTTTTTTTTTTTTTTCTCTCTCTCTCTCTCTCTCTAAAATTACTGCAATACCGTCTGGAAAGTAGAAACACATAAAGCTATAGTGAAAAATCCTTAATCCAATGAATATAACTCGTCTCCCAATTTTTACATTCAAAATCACTACAAAGAAATTCTTTTTCCAAATCCATCATCCAAAATTCTCAACTCATTAACACACCCAACAGTGTTATACCGCAATGATACAGAACTGATAATTACCAAAGAGCAGAGACATCATCAAAATAAATTTACATTCCAAACCAAATCAAACATCAGATGAACGTCAACAAACTGAATAAATTAAAATTTAAAACAAAATCAACCAGAACTCATAAATTACCAAGGAGCATACACATGATTAAATAAATATACATTCCAAACCAAATCAAACATTAAATAAATGTCAACAAAATAAATAAATTTACATTTTCAAACCAAATCAAAGAATGGTAAAATAGTGATCACATCAATCGTTATTGCCACCAATTCCTAGAAAGGGTATTTTCAGATCATACATGCGAGCAATTCAATGCAATAAAAACAGTAAGAAAATAATTGGAGATAATTTGAATGGGCGTTACCAGAATCAGCGGGAAAGTGAAGAGAGACGTAAGTGTAGAGATCGATCGAGGCAGCGACGGCCGTAGATCCGTGAACGACGGCGTGTTCGCCGGCGAGTATGATCTTTCCGGGAGCTCTTGCTCTCACCTCCATTCTCTCTCTCTCTATAAAATATATCACAATTCTCTGCTTTGCCAATCTCGCGCTCTCTCTGTGGGTTGGTTTCTCTCTCTAGAAAACTTTTGAGGGATTCGTAGTCAAAAGTACAAAGTCCAGCCAGTAATGGCACCCCTCAGACAGATTGTAATCTCGCGCCCTCTCTTTGGTTGCTTTCAGCGATGTCACGCTCCCACAGATTGCAAGCGCGTGAGAACCAGCGACTCGGGACACTCTACCAAATAAGCCAATTTTATTTTTTCTTTAAAAAAAACTCCAGTTACAAAAATTCATTAAAATTAGATAGAGAATAGTTTTTTTTATTAAAAACAGGAGAAAAATGACAAAATCTAGCACATAGTGAGAACGGAACAAAAGCTCCCACCGAATATGAAAACGAAAGTGCGAAAGACAACTATTTAAAAGTATTGTGCAATGTTCATAGCTTTAAAAAATATTCAATTTTAAATTTAAAAATAAAACATTGAGAAATAATCTATTTGTTTCACATAGAGTTTTGGATTAGGAATGTGGCTATGATACAAAATGCCCTTATCGTACTACCAAAAAAAAGAAGGTAACTGTCCGGTCTCACAAGATCGTTTTTGTATTACGTCTTATGTTTGAGTTGATTTAGATTTTAAAAGTATTGTATTATACATGATTGAAACAACTAAATAGAAACATAAATAATTTATAGATAAAAGAATTTAATAATAATAAAATATTTAACAAGTATTAACTTTGTTGATTAAATGGTTATAAATCCAAAAAATTTTTTAAAAAAAAAAAAATCTAAAATTTGAAGTTACACCATATTTGGTTGGAAAGAAAAGAAAAGAAATAGAAAATATAATTTTTTTGTGTTTGGTATAAAATTTTAAAAATGAATTAAAAAAAATTAAGAATATACATTAAAACTTGATGACTAGTTTTGTTGTTAGAAAAAAAAAAATATATGTATATATATACATAATGAAATATTAGTATTTTTAGTGAAACTCTTTTAATTCCGAATTTGACATTATTTTCAAAATAGTAATGAAACACCACCGATTAACCGTTCAAACATGACGGCCAGCCCAAGACAGAATCGGCTACGTTTGGGTCCGACCGTCTTCGGACCCACAAGTCAATCAAAAAGCCGTGTCAGCCGACATAATGAGAGCGAAACTAAACTATATCCAACGGTGAGCGCACAAGCCTAACATGCGCATTAACCATACGCAACTCACATTCGAAAACACAAACCAAACCGAACCAGAGAAAGAGAGAGAATATATAGAGAGAGGAGATAGAGAGAGAGAGAGAGAGAGAGAGAGAGAGATTCGACTATGCGGGAAACGAAGGCAGAGGACGACGACGAAGAGGGTTTTGGAGACTTTAAGTTCGCCTCATTCCCCAATCGGACCGTCCACTCTGATCACATCAACGGCCGAAACTCCACCGCCACCGACGACGACGAATGGGGTGATTTCGTCGAGTACCCACTTCGATCCGTTCCTTCAAGTGATCTCTCCCACAATAAATCACCTCCCATTTCGAATCCCTCCCAACCCACAAAACATTTCGACCCGTCAGGGTTCATCTCAGATCACTCGACGAAACCCTCCGATTCTGTGGCGACTCGTATTGAATCGGTCCCTAGTCGGGCTGACTCGGGGAAGGCTCACTGGGTGAAGCCAAAGGGGGCTTTGCCACTGTCATTATTTGGCGATGCAGAGGACGAGGATGAGCAATTTGGTGTGGCCGATCCACCGGTTGATGATGCTAAGCCCGCTGTTGCTGATAAACATGTTGGTATTGTTAAACAAGGATCGAGTGTAAATTTTGGTGGTGGGATTGATGATATCATTGCTAATCTGTACAGTCAGAGTCCGCAGATAAAAGCTGAGAATGGATCGAATTCAAATTCGAATGGGTTGAGTTCGAGTGTAGATGTTTCGTATTCTAATTTGGATGCGATTAATTCGAATATGAATGGTTCAATATCGAATCTAAGTGGGTTCAATACAAATTCAGATTTAGTTGCTGGTAACAAGGATTTTGATATCTTCTCAAAAAACAAGGATTTTGATATCAATTCAGATCTGTTCAATCAGACTAAGCAGGTCAAGGGTGAGAGCTGGTTGAATTCGAAATCTAATGAGTTAGGTTCAGAAATTAGTCTGCCCACTTCAAATCTCAGTGGGTTTGATTCAAATTTTAATGGGCTGAACACACAGTCAGATTTTCTTGGTGGAAACGACTTTAATGGTGATGATGATGGATGGGAATTCAAGGACGCACACTTGGAACCGAATGTCAGAGATGGAAGTGCTAAGGCGATTAATTCAAACTCGGATTTACTTGGTGGAAACAAGGAGTCTGGTAGTGATGATGATGATGGATGGGAGTTCATGGACGCATATCCGGAATCGAATGTCAGAGATGGGATTGCTAAGGTGATTCATTCAAACTCTGATTTGCTTGGTGGAAATGAGGAGTCTAATGGCGATGATGATGGATGGGAATTCAAGGAAGCATATACAGAAGTGAATGCCAAAGATGGGAATGCTAAGGTAAAGATTAAATCTCTGTTGTTTGGTTCAGTTCGTGCAGATGTAGGCCTGTGAAATTTTAGTTTTTTGCATTCATTTTAGGAGCATGTGGTGTCAGAATCATGGGGATTGCAAATGCCACCAAGAACATGGCAAGGAGTGCAGGTATGTATTGTTGAGTTTTGTAGATATCCTAGTTCAGTTTGTGTTTATGTCAGAAGATAGATTCTTATTCCGAAGTATAGTACTGCTGAATATTTGACATCACTTCTTTTTTTTCCCAGTATACAACATCTATATGGACCTTCGAATGCGCTTAATTTTGCTATTAACTATCTTTCTATTTAATTTTGCCACATACTTGTACAGAGACTACATTTGATCCTTCTAATCCTGGATTTTCTTATTTGAAGGTTGACAAGAAGGGGCTGGTAGATTTGTTCTCATCTGGTTTTGGTAATGGTTCGCTTGAAACAATTGATTTCTTTGCAAAACCAAATGAGTTTCCTAGTAAATCCGGTGAAATGGACATTGTTTTTGATTCCAAACCACTTACAGTGACTCAACATACTTTTAGCTTCGATTCATACTCTAAAAACGAGTACAATAGTAATGAGAATGGATTGAAGTCTGATTTATTAATGAAAATGGAAAATGGATTGACATCTGACCCAGTTGTGGGGAGTGTTGATTTGGATGAAAGTTTTGGGGAGTTCGAGTATGCATTTTCAGAAACTGGACCAAAGCAGGAGGTCGGTTACTGGTTTGTTTCGATCTTCATTCTTCTTAATTACATGTTTAAATTTATCTGGAATGTGTATTGAAACTTCATTATGGTTCTAGGAGGAGCCAAAGGTCAACGATCTTTTTCTCTCTGAGGTTGATGTAGTCACAGTTGATGGCAAAATTCAGGTGGATCCATTTGATATATTTAGTTTATTTATTAAAAATTCATATAGATTGAATTTATTATATTCCAATTTGTTGCACACTTATATTTGCTTATATAACTAAATAATATGTTTAAAGTAAAAATATTTGGAGCATGATAAAGTTATTTCTTATAGCCTTTTTGTTGTGCATGTTGAATATGGTTCATATACTTCAAGTCAATTGAACAAAGGCATCGGTTCTAGTTTGGTCATGTGAAATTATCTAGGAACATATCCACTGCATATCATGTGTACCATTATTACTCTCACGAATCACGATATTTACTTCTTGTCCTTTTTGGTCTTTCCATTGCCCTTTTAGTCTTTCTTGTCCTTTCCCTTGCCATTTAGTGCCTTCAACCTTAGTTAATGCATGAAGGTATCTCAGCTATACCCTAATTTCATAATTATGCATCATATCAATTCCCCAGCTTGAATTTTTGGAAATCCTATTCGCACTTCAGTCTTCTTTTTAATTTCTCAAAGATATAATTGGAAACTGTTTTTTCATATGTTTAAGAAATGGTATAATGGGTCTTCCACTGGGACTGGGTTTCTGAAAGTTTGGACTTCTAGGTTATGTTATACAATTATACTTTCCTTTTACTTATCAGAAAAAAAAAAATGTTGTACTCTCCTTTTGTGTACAAACTTCAATTGATGTCATCGTATTTATGAATTTTGTAGTTGTTCGAAATCAATATGAAATTTTCAATTCTTTCTTTACAGTTTTAGAAATCATGTTAGATGTTCAAGAGTTTGATTCTTTTTCTAGCATACATAGGTTTTCACATCTGATTTTATTTCTAGTATGCATGACTATCCCTGAAACTTTTCCCATTTCATTCCTTTCCTCAACTGGTGCCAGACGTAGTCAGTGAAATATTGTTGGGAAAGAATAAATCAAATATTGTTTTAAAAAGAAAAAAGAAGCTAAAATTTCAGCATAAAAAAAGGGGGACGGAAAGATATGGGTATAGATATGTTCAGTGTTAATATGATTATTTGTTAAAAAGTCAGGACTAAAAATTTGGCTGCAATATAACCCTTGAACCAGAATTTTATTGAAACCTAATATTCCAATTCCTTGCCATAATTTCACCAGCAAAATGGGTTGATACCAGTTAATCAAACAAACTAAGTAATCCCCATAAACACTTGTAACCAAGCAATTCAAAGTTTTTTTCCACCAAAATTTCACATGTTATCCATACATGTCTCTGTGTGTGTTTCTGTTTGTTTGTCTATAAATATATAGTTTCATTGTACAATAAATATGGATACAACTAGGAGGGCATGGAACACTGCCCCAAAAATCCAGTGGAGAATGTTGTGGTCCATATTTTGAGAAGCTCTCCGAAGGAGAGAGGCGCCTGGGAGAGAGGCTCTGATCCATTGGTTGTTTGGATCGGCTAAATAAATTTTAGTCATCAGATGGTGGTGGTTGCAAAGAGTCACTTCTACTTGGTGGATCCGACTGATTTTGTAGGAGTCAGTCATTCCGAGTCACTCACATGAGAAAGCCACTGGGATACTCAAGACGTTGCTGGGTTGTGCGAATTTTTTGCCCTCTTTCTCTGATCTTCTTGTTCTAGCCTGATCTGATGGCCATCTCAAATGGGAACAGTTACAGTAAGAAAAACACAAATTTTATTGCCATTCCGTTAAAACGTCATATAGACGTTTCCTTGAAGAATTCATGTGTACACATTTTATAGGCTTACAGAATGTGAGGTTACTAACTTAGATGCTTCATGCTTGGATGGGAAAATAGAAACAAAAGCACGTAGGTAGATTTGAAAGACACTTCTGATCAGGGTGGGGCCTATTTGTTTTTGTCCTGTATTGTCTTTACCATCTGGCTAACCTCCTTTCAGTTCATACCACAAGGGAACCCCACATTGATGTAGTTTTGAATGACGAACCTTACAGGAGCTACCAAAGGGCCTCTAGCCCAATGGTATAACCTCCACATCCTCAAAGATGGGAGGAGGGGTTCCAGCCCGGGTGTAGGCAAAAAGTGTGCTTGAGTACTTACCTGATCAAAAAACAAAAAGAAAAAAGAAAAAAATAATGTAAACAACTTACAGGAGCTTCATATAGATTGCCGGTAGGGATCCAAGTATTTAACCCTGCACTCCGATATATTTGCCTATGCATCCATGATCTTCTCTAAAAACCTGAAATTCTTTGAGAAAAAGACTTGATCACAATTTGTTGTTTGTTCTACTGCATGGTGGTTTGTTCCACAAATTCTTGGTAACTGTTAACTATCGTGGGACTTTTATTTTTTTATTTTTATTATCTATACTTGATTTTGAGAAGAATTTTGCAAGTTAAATAAGCAAACTAAATGATTGTTTGAATCACATTTATATATTGTTGTGTCCTCACTGTTTTGTGTCTGACCTTTCTAGGATTTGCCATATAGGAATTTCTGCAGAGTTTGTCTTTGCGTTTCCTAGTGTTTGTTAATTTGAAGGCTTGTATATTATCAATAGAGTGAAATTTACCTGTAGACACGTCAAATTTCTGTTTACCTGTTTTCTTCGTTACTTTTCAGGGGAATGAGTCAAAGTTAGAGAATAAAGGGGCCCTGCCCTTGTCCATTTTTGGCGATGAGGAACTGGAAACTGATGCCTCCTTGGATTCTCAAGACATTATGCATAGGCCTGAATCCAACCCAAGAAATGGCATTCATCTGCAAGGTTCATATATATCTATCAATGATCTCATTTCAAATTTATATGGTCAAGCTGAGAAGCCTTCTCTTGACTCTACACAAAAACCATCTGAAGATGGGCTGGATGCCACTGGAACAGTAATTAATTCTAAGTTGGTGAATGATGATGATGATTTCGATGATGGTTCGTGGGAATTCAAAGATGCTTCCTCTCAAAATGGAGCAAATGATCAGAACTCTCTTCTTAGTCAGGGAGATGAATCTTCTAGCAAGCTGAATACCTATGTGGATTTTTATTGTAAATTAAAGGATGAATTATGCTCTTCTGCAAGATGCCATCTAGACAGTTTAAAGGTTAGTACACTAGTTGTAATTTTTTCTGGGTTAAGTTATAATCAGTATCAAATTCATGAAGTCTGTTTTCTGTTAGAAATCACGAAGTACAGCTGCTCTTTCCGGTGATGATGCGAAAGTGGTAGCTCTTGATGAGGAAATCGAGGTTGGTAATGAGTTTTACCTTCTGTGTTTTGATATTTTCTGTTTCAATATTATATTGATATTTTCTGCATCCTTTTATGTTCTGATTGCAATTATATCTGAAGTTTATAAATTTGGATGTTTGAAAAAAACAATTTATTATGACTATTTGTCAGTCATTTCTTATTTTTTGAAACTCCTTTCGACTAATATTTCCAATCTGATTTTTCTAGAAATAGTCTACGGAATGTGAGATGCATAATGAGATGTTGGTAGCACTAGCATACTTTCATTAGAGGAGTGGAGTGATCATCCTCAAACCTCAATCTTACTTTTCGTCTCTCTTTATTGCCCTCATTTTTTCCCTTGTTCTTAAGAAGAAAATCCATTTATTATCTTTTATTGTTTATTATGATTGGTCGTTGATATACTGTTCAAGGACTCATTGCCGTTAATATTCCCTATCTGATTTTTCTGGGATTTTCTGAGGAGATCAACATAGAATTAAGCTGCAGGAAATAATGGTAGTTCTAAAAAAGGTGATTAAGGAAAATGTTGCTATTTCGTTGATGTTGCTTAGTATTGGGACCACCTAGGATATGCAGTCCATGGTACATGCGGCAGATTCCCTCTAATCCCGTCAGTCAGATTAAAGCACAATCTGGCTGTATTTACTGTTTGAGGTAATTAGAATCATTGATTTGACCATGAATTTTGGTATTTTAGTGTAAATTAAAATTGTAATTGAATGTCAAAGAGGTGAAACTCTAATCTCCACCCTATTGTCCGTGCCCATTTAGGCACCACAGCCAGGCAACTTCTTGTGTTATACCAAGCACAGGGGCAGACCCAGGAATTTTTTCTTGGGGGCGATTTTGTAAAAAATTGAACAAATAATATGAAAAATAAAATTTAAAATGTATATGCTGTAGTTATCATTAGTATTTTTACTATACAAGTCTGTCTTTATAATTTTAATATAAGGGGTAAATTACAGACCCACACCTCCCCCCCCACTTCAGATTTTTACCCTAAGTACACACATAGATACAATGTTTCCGGAAACCTACAGAATTACCCCCTGTTAGAGTTGGTGTCAGAATGGTGTTAAAATTCTTGTAAAATGTCATGTTTGCCCCTCATTTTATAAATCATTTTTTTGGAGGAGTGTTGTTTACTTTGTATATCAATGTAATAGAAGAAAGTATGGAACCACCCAGAGGCAGTTGCCTAAGGCCTCATGTAGATAATGTGGTATGAAAAGGCTGCTTTTTTTTTTTTTCAGAAAGTGATAATTTTTTTATTTAAAAAAAAAGCCCCTTTATTTGAAAAGCGGTTTTCTGAAAAAAAAAAAAAAAGTAATAAAAAAGACCCCTTATAAATAAGGATTAGTAGAAAGACTCCATATAAATATAATAATGATAAAAATAGATTGAATCAATTGTATATATTCTGTCCAATTTTTTGATTGAATTGAACTATAAAAAAATCATTATTTGGTACTCATTTAGTTAAATTATCTCTCATTTTCCACATCCTTTTTTATTTTTTCTAAAATTCTTCTAACTTATTATATATTTTATTCCTTAATTTTTTACTCATTTTTATTGTTTAATTAGTATAAAGATTCAAAAATGTAGAATTAATTAATACTATTTACGTTATTGTACTAAAAGAAAATATATATATTTCAAATTTCACGCCTTAGGCCTGTATCGAGCCTGTGCTGGAACTCTGTGAGGCTGTGAAATATGTAGGTTATGGAACTACCTCGTAGTGGGTAAAAGTTAAAACACATACAGCTTCACAAAAATTAACAAAATAGTAGTTGAAGATATTTTCATAGCTTCACATTTGAATGTTATTCATCTTATTATTATTAATAATCTCTCTCTCTCTCCCTATTTTTTGTATGACACTGCTGATTTTGTTTAGGAGCAACTAAAGTAGATGGCGTTGAATGTATGACATTTCCTTTTTGTTTCTGAAATTAGAACCAGATGCTCAATTAATTTTATGTATTTATTCATTTGCTCCGGGTGTTTCTTTGTTACTGAATGGGTGAAACATTCGATGTGTACCAATTTCTTAGTTCTCTTTCATCCTCTTACTGTAGGAGGTTTGTAAGGAACTTCACCAAGAGAATCTAATATCCAAGGAAGTTTATTCAGAGGATCATCCGGCAAGAGATATTTCCCTCAATGAATTCCTTCAAGCTCTGCATGAACCAAAGTTCCAACTACTGGAGTCAGAATATCGCCTGTCAAGAAAATTACAATTAGTAAATGCCTTTTTCTTAATCTTTGTTGAACTTGGAACATAAATTTGCCATTTCTAGAAAAGCTACATGCTTCTTTATTTGAAAAATATTTTCCGCTTTAATATTGTCTAGTTAATTTCAACGATTCACACTCACTTTAGGGAATATAATAAATTTGCATTATTGGTAATTGAGGCCTGCTTAAAAGGAGGGTAACCATATGATTGATATATTTATGTTGTGCCTGATTTTACCCTTAACTAGCGTGCCCTGTGTTGTGAACATTTGTATGAGCACTTATATTGTTTCCTTACCATAATTGACTTTTCGTAGAATAAATCACATGCTTATATCAAATCCATTGACAAACAAGCATTTAGAAAGCAAGGGGAAAAAGAAAATGAAAAGCCAAATACATTACAATTAAATATGCAGTTAGATTCTTGAATTTGAATATTTTTCTATGCATTTGAACAAAATAAAGAGAAATTTATAGTGTTTGTGTTTTTTTTCTTGATAAATAATGTGTTTTTTAAAGAGGACACTTAACAATAATTTTTTTAAATACATTAACTATCTTATTTGAGATGAGAAAGAATGTCAAGGTTTTCTGTTTTTTTTTTTTTTTTTTTTTTTTTTTTTTTTTTTTTTTTTTTTGGTCTTAAATATTGCATGTGGTAATTTTATTAGGGTCCTGAGGTTCTTTGAAATTATCCTTGGATCACAAGTTTGAAAAAAAATGCAGTCAACTTTCATTGAGGTTTTCAAAATCACACTGATCACCCCTGCTGTCAGTCAACTGTTTGGTCAACAAAGCAGCAGAAAATGCTGTTATATGAAGCGAAATGATGTAAATGTCCCTAATAACTTTATGAAATGTAACCTATACATATATATATAGCTTAATGATTAAAGAGAAGATGCAGTCACACATCACAATCTATCGATGCAAACATTTAAAAGGTTCAATATGAAAAGAAAAAAAAAATAAAATAAAAAAAAATTAAAAAAAATAAAATTTACTATATAAATAGAGAGACGAGGATGAAGGAAATACCCATTTGGGTCTCCTGGAAGGTATGAGATTCCATCCAGGCCCTGTTCATCTTCTATATATATATGTCTTTGGATAAAGCAATAATGAGAACTTATTTTAAGAGAGACAAGAAATGGATGGGTAGATAGGGTGCTTTCAGAAGAAGAAAAATTGAATCTTAAAGTAAATCGTTTCTTCTAAATTTTTTATTGAGTTATATACTTTTTTTTTTTTTTCTTTTTTTTACATTGGCACGTCCACACACACACACACAGATGATGTGCTTTCAGAAGAAGAAAAATTGAATATTAAAGTAAATCGTTTCTTCTAAATTTTTTATTGAGTTATATACTCTTTCTTTTTTTTTTTTCCTTTTTTTTTTTACATTGGCACGTGCGCACACACTCGCAGAGATGATGTGGTGATGGTGCAGAGTGAGAGAATTGGGGTGATGATGGTGAAGGGTTGAAGGCAGTGTGGCTATGTGTCTGTGTGCGAGGGATAGTGGAGGCAGCTCCGGCTGTGAGTGAGAGAGGGATTTTGGAGGGGGCACAGCCGTGAGCAGGAGAGGGGTAGTGGATGCGGCAAGAGCAGGGGAGGGTGGGGGTGCTGGTAGCAGGTTGAGCATGTAGTGTTGGTGGAGGAGATATTTACCCATTTTATTAGCTTTTTTTACCATGTGTGACACATCCAGGTTGTATATTACCTTTCCAACTTTGCTTGTAGATGGATGATACATCGGTATTTGCATTGATGTCTTGAGTCAGACAGACAGGCAGTGTCAGGCATATATTCGTATGAAATAAAAATGTAGTTAGAAATTCTTGGCTTGGATTTTTATCACAATCACGAATTAGTTAATGTAATGTTCTCTTTTCAGAGATTCTTGGCTTGGATACGACTTGCTATAACTTGTAGTTTGTTGTCACAGGCAGAGAAGGATACGAAATCAATGATTGAACTCTTGAAACATGTCACTTCAGTGCTAAATGTGCTGACATTGGGATCAATGGAGGAACAAACTAATTATGTATCCACATGGTCTAAGATGATTGCTGTTTGTGCTCAAGAGTTGAAACACGGTTCCCAGATTTGGAGGCAGTCATTAGAAGAGAATGTTAGAAGTCAAATACTTTCTGATCCTCGAGGTACTGTGGTAGTTTCATTATTATGCATGCAATGGTAATATATGACAACAACAATAGCAACAACAACATATTAAAGAGCAATAGCAATATTAATTACTGAATTCTTCACTCAAAAAGGGTAGTAATTATTTATGATGATAGTGTTCCATGTTTTTTGGTCTATGTAATATTTTTGACTTTCAATTAATTCATTAGTTTTATTTTTGCAATGATGACAGGCAAGCAGTTTATTCTTGCCCTCGGAGAAGTTTATAGAGTAGTAGTTGTTATTGGAGCCTCAGTCAAACTTCACAAGCCATGGATAATATCGAATTATGTAGATTCAACGAACGTATGTGCTCTTTTGGAGGAATGCTATATTCTATGGTCGAGTTCAGGACTTGAAGAAGCTCTACGGAGTATATATGATCCAATTGGTTTTGAATATGATGGAACAGTTCAGGCTTTACTGGAGTCCATTAAGCAAGTATATGATCTTGATGAGCTTGCACTTGGAAGTTATGTTTTCAGTCAACAAGAACCTTTGTGTCACCTGTCAGGCTTAACTTCTGGAACAGTACCTGGTGAGCATAACTTAAATTCTTAGTTTAGTTAAAACCAAAAAATGATAAAAATATGTCACCCCTGAATTCCTGAGTCGGTCCAGGCCTTGACGAGACTCATCTCCGTTGCATATTTTACTAATCGTGGCAGCAGTTTTGGATTAATATGCGAAAAAACTTAAACTATCACGTCTGTTAGAAACTTCTTTGAAGAACGTTACATTTTGTTATAGTTTTGTTGAAATGTTAAAATCTCTAACCGGTCACAAAACCACCTAAAAATCTGATATACACATTTTTATTGATCAATTCAAAGCAAACTAATAATGGTGCATGACTGGTTGTAGTATCTTGAGAATTCCTTGTAGCTCACTGTCTCATTTAGTATATTGTTGTTCGATTTTTTCAGACATCAAAATGGTGGAATGGAATGGGGAGCATTACTTTCTGACGCTTGCAAATTTGTGGGCGAATCTGATAAGCTGTGATCCTCCAAAGTTGCCGCACTTGCATGTTGGCCGATGAAAAGAGTTTTAGAAGGCGGCTTTTGCTGAGTTCACTATTGGCTCCAATTCTTTGCATATGATAATTGCACATATGAGATGAGGCCTATGGGGCATTAATTTATGCTATTTGGTTTTGAGGATGGGTCTCGGGGAAGAAGTGAAGATTGCTGCTGTATGGCGGCATATCAACATCCAAATGGCCATGATAGTTGCTTGGTTTAATCAGGCAATACATCCCTTTCAAAATTTTCACATTAATTATCATTCTTTTTGTACAAGTTGTAGTAGCATAGTATTTGGATGTTTCAATATTGTATCATTGTGCTATTTGTTGTGTTATGAGTTGAGAAATTACTCTGGGTGGATGAAATGAATACCCTTTGTATAGCAGACCTAGAAATAGAATTGTGAAAGAACTACAAATATATAGTTATTTTTACCCTTTTTCTTCAATCCTACCACTTGTCTTGGTAGTTGATTGTTGCAAGGGGCAAAGAATGAAAAGGTTGTTTTGTTGAAAATGATGTATAATGAAATATTTTGCTTTGATAAAATATTTTGTTGCCTCTTGCTTCATGTATTACTTCTGAAAGGTCATTCTCTTTTATACTTGGGTAATTTTCAAATGTTTCATTTACATTGAGATCCCTTTCCATAAGTGTATTTGATATTATGTAGGTTTTCATTATGATAGAAAGCAAGATGATATAAAATATAAAACAAGTCATATATATTTATGATAAATATAAAGAGAACTAAAAAGTAGCAGAAGTGAAGACCAACCTTCACAAACCCAGAGAAGTAAATAAGAATTGACCATTAAGAAAGCCAAGGCAATGAAAAAAAAATACAAACATACAAACTACAATGGATAGACCCAAAGAAAAGAATCTGATTCTATGGGTCTGCCTTTCAGTTTCACCCAATTTTTACAGCTGAGATTTTCATTATGTTCACTATTTCATCTTCATTAGGTCATGCTGCTTTTCAATTTACTAGAGATTAGACTTTGTGGGGGTAGTTGTGTTTATTCGACGGAATAATTATATTTTGGTGATTGAAATTAAACAAAATAAAAACATGAAGTCACATAATCTTCTTTAACGAATGTCGCTCTCACCCTCCGAGCGCGTTCTCGCTCTCAAGTTCAGTGAGCATTTTTGCTCTCATTTCCACTATTTGTGATTTAATTTTGCCGCTTTAGCACTCTTGCTCTCGAATTCGCTCTAGCTCCGGGAGTTCCCGTTTTATGTAACTTAGAGCATGACACATCTTCAAGCAGGGATCACAACCAAATAATTCACATGGGCCGAACAACAGAAAAAGCATAAGTGTAGAGTCGAGAGACTAATTCCGAAACCCACAAAAGACCAAGCAAGATAAGGACGACACATCTTGGATTAAGGCCCAATACTACCAAAAAGTTCCGACCCACTTCCACTATCCGAATCCTATACGGGGAAGGAATTGCTGCATGGTACCAATAATTTATTTATGTAAATATTGTATAATTCGTATAAGGAAACAAACGGAAAGAAATTGGGACAAGCAACACCGTGTCCTAAGCCAATTCAAACTTGTATTTGTATTTCATTATACATAGCGGGAAGATCCAAATTTTGCTATTCTTAAACTTAATTATTTTCCTACGCTATACTTGCTTGTTGTCTGGTTATATACTTAAATCTTAAGAAACACGGATACGAATACGGGATACGAGTACGACACGACACGGATACGGCGACACGACAAATTTCAAAAAAATAAGACACGGACACGGCGGAGATACGCTTATATATATATATATATATTCAAAATATAATTACTAGAATCTTATACAGATAAACAAAACAATAATAAGGAACAGAATCAATTTCAATAATTTCATCTCTGTTATAAGAAAAATATAGACAAGACAAAATAGAAAATAAATAAAAAATAAAGTTGATCCAAATTCCAAACGAAGATGTGCAGAAGAGACATAGTTATAATGAACTAAATATGTATATAAATAAACATATATACTTTCAGTCTTTCACAAAATATTGTTCATGTAACTTATATATATATATATATATATATATATATATATATATATATATTGTTCATGTAGAGAGATAATTGAAGAAGATGAGAGACTGAGAGAGGAGTGAGAGAAAATAAATTTTGTCTCGCAAGAAGTGTCGGACCGCGTGTCCGAGGCTCGGACACGCGTGTCCAATAAAAAATAATATTTGGACATTTCACAGAAATGTCGGACTGTCCGAGCCTCGGACATGGGTGTCGGTGTCCGAAAAGTATCCGACAGGATCTCTGGGAGAAGTGTCCGTGCTTCATAACTTAAACCCCAAGTCTCTTCTTGTTGTAGAGAGACAATGTTGGACATTAATCTGTTCAGAGTAGAGAAGGGTCACAATCCGGAAATTATTTGCGAATCTCAACGCCGCCGATTTGCAAACGTCGACCTAGTCGACGAGGTCATTCTTCTCAACCGACAATGGCGAAAACGTAAACTATCTCTGGCTTTAGTCGATGCATATATATGTGTGTGTATGTATGTTTCGACATAACTTGATACATCTTGATGTGGATATTTAGGACAATTTGAGCTGATCAATATGCGGACAGAGTTCAACAAGATAACTATAGAAGTGGGGAAGCTAAAAATTGTGAGTATTTAGTATATAATTTTTTTTTTTGGGTAAATTATTTAGTATATAAAATTCCCTGGCTTTGTTTACTCTGAATCCTGTTTACCTCTTTGAAAAAATAAAATAATAAAAAAATTAGTCTGCATTGTGAACAATTTAGCTGACCCAAGATATTGAATCATTAGGTTATGGCTTGACCTTTGATTAAGTGGGTATGCATTTTTAAGTTGCTTCCTGAGTGCTTAGTTCTGAACTGAATAGTTCACGCAAACACGTAAATTGAAGTTGTGGGCATTCTTATGCTTGTGTATGACATGAGAAAAGTTGTACTATATGAACATGGAACTGTATTTGATCGACTCGTACTAAACAATACGTCTACCTAGAGAATGGATCCCATCCTCTCCCAACTCACAGATTGACAAGTTCGGAGTAAATTCACATGCAATTCACTAATTCATTTTTTCTGATTCTCCGATTTCGAACACAAATCCTTAGAGTCACTTGTAAGAGATGATTCCCCATCAGGAATCCTTAGTGCCACTTTTAAGATGGAAATCCTTACAACTGTGATTAAACTTACCTGTAAGACAATCAGTGCTTAGCATATATATATATATATATATATATATATATATATATATATATATATTAATAACCTATACGTCATTACTTTAAACCAAAATTGCCTAGACAGGGACAAGGACAATGGAGTAGTCGACGTGCATAGCAATGATGGCACACTTGAAACCACCCCTTCGTCTTAGTCTTTTTTTTTTTTTTTTCCGAAAGATAAATGATGTGTATTGAATTGGAGATGTGGGTATTTTCATGTTGGCCCTGATATAAATTGTTTCTTTAAATAAAACCCCGATATTTTGATTATTGTAGTCACATACTGAAATTTTATATTTTGTTGTGACAGTGAATTATACATGTATTATATTATTGAAAACCATATTAAAGATTAAGCATAATTAATTAATTAATATGACCATATATTATGTTGGATAAGTATACGTACAAGCAACATGAGGACACTATAAAGATGCTCATGCTCCCCTACAATTTTAGACTTTGACACTCACTCCTACTTTTGCTCTAGCTTTTGTGCTCTACCTCTTGCTCTGTGTAACTTGGGTAATAAATCAATGTTTGGTTGCAGCATGGAGATGATGCTATGTGGTTAGCATGTCTAATTGAAATGGTACTGTAGTAACCTGGAGGTAGGTTTCTCATAAGGAAATGCGTAGCGAGAATAGGCAGTTTGGAGATTAGAGAGGCTCTTATATAATTTTGTTAAATTCAGACCAAAAATCTGATTAAGGATATGGAGTTTAGAGAGGCTCTTGATGATTTTTATATAATTCATAGAATAGATAGGACTTTTTGTAAAGTTTAATTGATTATGTTTGAGTTTGATGCTTTTTAGAACTGAATGTAGAACAGTTCTCTGCATGATGATCTTTTTCTTAAGAGATTTGGCTTTTTTTTTGGGTTATAATTTTTTAGGGTTTTCTGGTTGTTCTTTTCCATATAAAATAGGCAGGTGAGGATGCAAGTGAACAGATTAAAAACACTGTGGAGAACAAACAATTGATTTCGAGCAAATATGCTGAAGTTCAGGAGGCTCAAGCAGCACTAAATTCAAAGTTACAAACAATTGGAAACCTTATGCATGATTCTGTTCTAGTCAGCAACGATGAGGTGTGTATGATCTGTAGATGTCAATTCAAATTTATGCAATTTCTGGATCAATTTATTTCTCTAAAATTCTTTATAATTTTGTAGGCAAACAATGCTATAGTTCGATCTTGGGGGGAGAGGCGGTCTGAGCTAAAGCTGAAAAATCATGTTGAGCTTGTTGAGCTTCTTGGAATAGCAGATACAAAGAAAGGTATTATATCGGTTCTTTGATAAAGCGAGTCCTGATAAAGTCAATGATTTGAAATGGTGGTATTACTATGAACTGCTTGTTCAGGAAATAATATTTGTATTATCCTTTCTTCATATAATTATGATTTCACTATGCATTATTGATTTATTTATTGAATATTTTGTGCTCTAATTGCATTGATTTAGAAGAGTGAGAAATTTACTACAATTCAGTGAATTTTACTGAGGTTTGAATTATTTTTGTTTTCAAAGCTTCATGCTCAAGGTTTGGATTATTCGACTGAAATATCTATTATTTGCATGGTTATTCACTTAATCACTTGTACCTAACTTTTTGGTCATCCGGGCCCCAAAGCAAATAATTTATCAACTATCAAGGTTTGTTATCACTAGAGTTTAATGCACATTGATTGAGTCTGTTAATCATTTTCATTATCAATGTGACGTGTGTTCCCTTCAGTATAATTGAAATGGCAAGGATAGAGAATCTGTTTGTTCATTGCCAGTATTGGTGAGTTTGCTTGGAACATATAGTGGAGAAATTCCTGCATTGGATCAAGTTATATTCTTGCATTGATTATCATACTCTCAGTTCAATCTGACAAAACTTAATTCGACGTGTCAGTTATTCAAATCTGGAAGTTAATTTCTTATTAGGATTGTCTACTGCAAAATTATAGACCATGTTTAACCACCGAAACTCAACCTTTTCCCTTTCTGGCATTTACCTTGTCCTTATGCTTGCACATGAATCATATCATGTGGCTTATTAGTTCAGCCATCAGTTTTTGTGGCAGACCGAATCACCATACCTGAATTTTCTCACTTTTTGCTTCCTTAAAATTCTCACAAGTGCACTTTGTTTCCTTTTTTTTTTTTTTTTTTTTCTTTTTTTCTTTCCGTTGACAGTTCTATGTGTATCCCCACTAACCTGTCTGCTAATGCAAATATGCTTGAAACATTTAGGTGCTAATGTAGCTGGAGGTAGAGGTTTCTATCTGAAAGGAGCTGGTGTAAGTCTTAACCT